TGCAATGTATGGCTGTGAAAGTTGGACCATAAGAAAGGCTGAGCGCAAAAGAATTGAGGCCTTTGAACTATGGTGCTGGAGAAGACTCCTGCGAGTCCCTTGGACTGCAAGGCGTTCAAACCGGTCAGTCCTAGAAGAGATCAACCCCGACTGCTCTTTAGAAGGCCAGATCCTGAAGTTGAAACTCAAGTACTTTGGCCACCTAATGAGAAGGAAGGATTCACTGGAGAAGAGCCTAATGCTGGGAAAGATTGAGGGCAATAGAAGAAGGGGACGACAGAGAATGAGATGGCTGGATGGAGTCACTGAAGCAGTAGGTGTGAACTTAAATGGACTCCAGAAGATGGTAGAGGACAGGAAGACCTGGAGGAACATTGTCCATGGGGTCGCGACGGGTCGGACATGACTTCGCAATTAACAACAACATACTGTACCATAATATAGAAATATGAATTTCTTTCTCTTGATGGAACCTTTAATATTTACTGTGTTATCCAATCAATCAGGTTTTTGTTTGATGAATTTCTTCAGGTTTTGGATTTGTCTTGGTTTCTTTCCAGTGTTTTTGTCTCCTTTTCAGATTTAAAAAGCTCCTAGTTTTACTTTAACCCAGACCACAAAATATTGCATTATTGTATTGCTGATCAAAATACAATTAGCCAATAATAAGGTGGTGGGTTATTTTTGTTTGTCTTTGTTTCTTTTCTTGCATGCATTCCCGTGGGATACATATGAAGTCTTCTCATCATTGTGCTAGGCTATTAAATAACAAATTATCAAAGTTGAGAATGTCAGACTATGGAAATGAGCTAATAGCTGTTCTCATCTGCATACATCTCTTTGGAAAATGCTTACACAGCCTTAAAAGACCTCAGAGAAGGTTTAGGTAGCTGAAATAATAAATGGGAGGATTAATGTGTGCACAAGGAAAAGGATGTAGATTTCACTGTACAGTATTTTAAGGGAAAAAACACACAGAAGTGGGGCCATTTCAAAGCTTTTGGGGGGGTGGGAGTGCTCAATAAGACTGATCTCAGATACTCTAGTGAGGTGGCACCCCAGCATAAATAAAATCAAAGATTTCTCTTATTTGATACTGATCAAATATTTTTGGTAGCTAAGGCAGAAAAGGCCTCCCAGAGGAATTACAGATTAAATTACAGATTAAAACGGAGTAGTACCCATCATTCAAAATACCCCAAATCAGCTGCTTTTGCCCAGTATGAGAGTCAGTTTGGTGGAGTGGTAAAGGCATCAGGCTAGAAACCAGGAGACAGTGAGTTCTAGTCCCATCCTAAACACAAAGCCAGCTGGGTGATCTTGAGTCAGTCACTCTCTCTCAGACTCTAGGGCGGGGGTAGGCAACCTTGGCTCTTTTATGACTGGTGGATTTCAACTCCCAGAATAGTGAGCATGTAAATCAAAGCCCACTCCTTTTATACATATGGCAACTTCACACATATTTACAAAATGGACAGGGACTTTATCACAATGCTGTGCTTGCTAGCTTGCAGATTAAGACAAGCCCTTTGTGGATGTCCATAACCATAAGATTAGAATTGGATTTGCATCGTATGCAAATTATATTTTCATCCTAGACTTGTACATTACTGACAGACTTCCACTTGAAGTAGCTAATGTGAACACGTTCAGCAGCATTTAATCTTGTCCCATAGTTCTCTTTTACCACAGCTAAGCGAAGATGGAGCAATTCTAACCAGAATTTGAAACCAAAGTCAATTATTGGTTTCAAATGTATTTATTTACTTAGTAAGATGGTATAATCTCTAAAGGTCTCTTTAGCAATATAATAAACCATAACAGCAAGATTAAAATGTCCATGATACAAATATAAAGATGAGAACTAAGGCTCTGAGGAACCATATAAAAGCAAAACCAATAAAAACAAAACAAAAAGGCAATGATGACATTTCGCTGAAGTTCAGATCCCTCCAGATGAGGATTGTTTTAACAGACTTTTAAAGGTCTGCCATAGAAGGAGTCAGTCAACTAACTGTTAGATGATGTCTATCTCCAACATCTAGTCAGAGCTGTAGAAATTTCTTGGATGAGAAGCAAAACGTCTTCAAAGGAAAACAAGAAAGTCCAGTTGCCTCGTAAAAAAGCATATCTGGGGATATTTTACATCCTACTTTCTTTGGGTATTCCACCAGGGCCCTTTTCTGGGGGATGACTTCCCTGCTGCCATTCACCAAGTGGCTAAAATGCCAAGAGAAAGCAGAGCCTGATCCTGCCCTGAGCATATATATCCATTCCTTTGCTGCATTTCTGCTTGTAATGAAATTATGGCTAGAAGGTGAATTTTTGACAACAACCCCCTCTTGTGACAAAAGGTTTTTACTGCAACAGGCTTCAGGGGATAATAAATATGTATGTCTGTTCTACAAAGGGAAGAAAAATGGCTTGTGTGCTTGTCTTCCTGCTTCCTGTTTTGGAGTTACTCATCCAAAGGCAAATTTAAAATTAGCATTTTTGTCCTTCAGGATGAAACTGACAAGATTTGGGAGCTTAATCCTAGAAAATTCAATATTGCTTATAAGTCCCATTGTCATGCTGGTTGGTGCTAATATGTGTCACCATTTCAAATAGCAGAAGGCACCAGATTGCCTGCCCAGGTTTCAGCTTTATTTGCAGAAGTTCTTCAACAGTTTCTCCTAGGCATAACTGAAAATGGAGGAGAATTAAAGATGGACATTCTGCTTATGCTATGCTGCTAAAATGTGGCTCTTCCTGTGGATAAAAATGAAATTTATCATGCATTGATTATATGCCATCAAGTTGGTATTGATTCTTAGTGATAACACAGCTAGATATACTCCATAATGTTTTGCCTTCAGTCTAGTCCTTTGGATTATCCAAACAGCTACCCATCAACACTGCAATCAAATCTAGCTACCTTATATCATACCATGCATATAGGTACACACATAGTGTAAGAAACAGCATTTTTTTTTTCTTTTGCCAAGCTCCATATTCCACTGATGTGCACAAAAGCCAGACTTCCCACCTGTGCGTTCATACACTATGTGAAATGAGCCAACTTGTGCTAGGCTTTTCAGTGTAAAAAAAAAGCAAACTTTGTTGAATTAGGGTTTATTTATGTTTGAAGCTCCAAAGCTAGTTATTAATTCTACTAAAAGCTCAACACAAATTTGCTGGATTATATGCCTCAAGTGAGAGCATGCTGGATTTTAGGGTTTTATGACCTCACATTCTCATGTTTTTTCAATGGTTAGATAGGCGTTATCTTGAATAGTCCAAGAGCAACTAAGATGATCAAAGGCCTGGAGACCAAAACATACGAAGAATGGCTGCAGGACTTGGGTTTGGCTAGTCTAAAGTAAAGAAGAAACAGGGGAGAGATGATAGCAGTATTCCAGTATTTGAGGCGTTGCCACAAAAAAGAGGGGGTCACTTTATTCTCTAAAGCACCAGAGGGCAGGACAAGAAACAATGGTTGGAAACCGACCAAAGAGAGAAGCAACCGGCAATTAAGGAGAAACTTCCTGATAGTGAGGACAATCAACCAGTGGAACAGCTTCCCTTCAGAAATCGTGGGCGCTCCATCACTGGAGTTTTTTAAGAAGAGGCTGAACAATCACCTGAGATGGCATAGGTTCTCCTGCTTAAGCAGGGGGCTGGACTAGAAGACCTCCAAGGTCCCTTCCAGCTCTATTCTATTCTAATCTATGTCCAATCTCTTCTTAAACACTTCCAGTGTTGGAGCATTCACAGCTTCTGGAGGCAGGTTGTTCCACTGATTAATTGTTCTAACTGTCAGGAAGTTTCTCCTTAGTTCTAGTTCTATAAATAAGTATTCCTCAATAAACAATATAAAGGTTAAAAGTGAGGAAATCTTAGTTTCCTGCCCTGAAAGAATGAGGCAGCAAACATACTGAAGAAAGACAATGATCTTGAAGGACAAGGAAGATCCACTAACAAGGCAACAGATAAAACTTCAGTCCAGGCCAAGAAAGAAATTTGTGAAAACAGTTCAGACAAGCCTCCCTTAGACTTAACGACTGTTCATCTAATGACAGTTTGAATTAACAACGGCCTTGGAAAGGACGCTTTACAACCTGTAAAACATCATGTATTCCATCATAAAATGTCACACACATTCCCCTCATGGTCACGTCATTTGTGATCTGGGCACTTGGCAATTCGCACTCACAACCGGTTGCCAAGCGTGCAGCAAACGTATGATCACCATTTGCAATCTTCCGTGTCAGGTTCACCAGAAAGTCAATGCTTGGATTTTGTCAGGGTGGATTTGCAGCCCAAGTCTGCAGCTTGTGCTCTACCCCCCCCACCCCCACCCCCTGCTCCCAGGCACTCTGCATTCTTTATCTTACTGCTTCCTACCTTAACATCTTGCTTGGGTTTTGGCAGGGAGGATTTTCAGCCCATGTGGAGAGACTTGTCTGCACCACCACGCCCAACTTGCATGTGGCCTGCACTGGGCCTCTCAGGGTCACCCCCAAATTTCTGAGGACTCCAACACTACTTCCATAGGACTCTGTCCACTTAATGACCCACAAGACTGCTTAACAACCACAACCAGGAATGCCAGGATTGTGATCATTGAGTGAAGCAGCCATGTCGTATCTCACTTAACAACTATTCCACTAAATGACTGAGATTCAGGTCCCAGTGATGGTCATAAGCTGAGGACTACCAATAATTCTGAAGATAAAAGGAGGAAGAAAGATATATAGTACATTCTGACTTACAAAGTTCTATTATTAGCTATAGTAATACTACTACTATAGTAATACTAGTACCGTTATAGTAATACTAATTACTATAGTTCCAGTAAAAGTACAGGTAGTCCTTGACTTACAACCACAATTGAGCCAAAAATTTCTGTTACTAAGTGACATGGTTGTTAAGTTTTGCCCCATTTTACAACCTTTCTTGCCACAGTTATTAATCACTGTCATTGTTAAGTTAGTAACCCGGTTGTTAAGTGAATCTGGCTTCCCCATTGCTTGCCAGAAAGCCGCCAAAGGTGATCACATGATCCTGGGACACCGCAACCATGATAAATACATGCCAGTTGCCAAGCATCTGGATTTTGATCACATGACCATGGGGACACAGCAATGGCTTTATGCAAAACGGCCGTAAGCCACTTTTTTCAGTGCCATTGTAATCTTGAATAGTCACTAAATGAATAGTTGTAACTCAAGGACTACCTATCTAGTGTCTATTTCTTTGTCTAGTTTACTGATAGGGCTGACAGCAGAAAAGTTTGAAGTCTTCATAAATTCTGAATTACTACCTTTGCTTTCTCAGAAACTGTCAATTATTTCACATGGCTGTTGTTTCCTAGAGTACAATAAAAATATAGTTTCTAGGGGTGTTTATCCCTGTCTCAATGGGACTCTGATAACATGACAATTTGACAGGCCAATAACAGAACACACATTTTGTAGAAATTTTTTAAAATGTTATATGTCTTGTAAAGGTGGCTCTAATACACCCTCCAAATATGTACTAGTTTCCTTCAAATGCCTCATTTCCAGCTACCTCTTCGCTGTGCAGGTAAGAAATGATGTGATTTATAGCATCTGGAAGCATCAGGTTAGGAAAAATCTGGTTTAAGGATACAGAAGAGAAACAGCTCCATCTTTTTTCTTTTCTTTTTTTTTAAAAAGCTAGTTAAATTTAATGGTTATCAATATTTTAAAGGTATAAGATAAACGTGTTCAGCCAAACTATCCTGGCAAAAGAAAAGTTTGGAACTCATTATCCCTTATTGCAAAAAGGGAAAAAATGATGTTCATTCATAGCTCAAAATTCTGGGCCATTAATACATATTTTTTCTCTACAGTCCTTGCTATGTACAAGTATTTAATACAATTTCTTTCAGAAATGTCAGCGTGTAACCCTGGAAAAGCAGAGGTTTATTCAAATTACCAACGCGGAGAAAATATGCCGTACAGCCTTGCTTCCAGGCATATGGTTTTCTCATTCCAAATCAAATGATTTAACACCGAAGAAAAGCAGGTTTCATCCCATCCAGATGGAGACTCTTCACCCAGATCTCAAAAGACTAATTAGTTCATGCTTTGTACTTTTCATCCCCTTGCTTTAAAGCTTTGTAATAATGAGTATAATCGCGATAGAGTTCCTTGAAAACTTCTCTCACACCTGCTGGTAGAGAGATAGTTAAGAATTTGATGTCCCGTTCCTTGCAGCGATCTATGATGTGATAGATCCCTTCTGTTAGATGTTTCTTTACAGCTGGATGCAAAGTCACCTAGAAGGAATATAAATGGGTTTATTAAAACTTGTTACCAGTGATTAATGACACACATACACTCTCATTAGGAAAATCACTGAAGAGAATCACTCATTTATTATCCCACTTGCATTAAGACTGTGGAGGTATAAAGACTCCAACCTTAAAACATACAGGAGGAAAAGATCTATGTGGTTTCTTTACCAAACGGTAGCCTATTTTTATTGTCAGTATGTATTTTTATTCCTCTGTGTATATAATGAACAACTTCATTATTTAGCAGCCAAAAATGCATAACAAAAATAAATACCGCTATAGGAATGTCTGGGTGTATTTGTTCTCCTTTGAGAAGACTGCCACACTCAGATACGAAAGCACTTTTTTCTTTCAATTTTATCAGTTTATACCAGAGAGAATGGCAGAAATGTCCACGTCAAAAGTACAAACAGTAAAAAAAAAAAATGTAATAGAAGAGATAAAGCAACAGTAAAACATATACAGGCATAGAAAGGTAGTCCTCAACTTAACGTTATGTTACAATGGCACTGAAAAAAGTGACTTATGCCCATTTTTTATACTTACGACTGTTGCAGATGCCCATGGCCTCATGATCAAAATTCAGACGCTTGGCAAATGACTCATATTTATGACGGTTTCAGTGTGCCGAGGTCATTTGCAACCTCTCATAAGCAAATGGGGAAGCCAAATTCATTTAACAACTTTGTTACTAAATTAACAACTGCAGTGATTCACTTAACAACTGTAGCAAGAAAGGTCATAAAATTGGGCAAAATTCACTTAATAAATGTCTCACTTAGCAAAATAAATGTTGGCTCAGTTGTGGTCGTAATTAGAGGACTACCTGTACAATAATCAAATGGTTCAGTGATTGAGGATAAAATGTGCCCTAGATATATTACAGATAGACAGGAAGTAGATCAGGATCTTAGTAGTTGATCCCTGGATGATGTCAGATCCCACAGCTGAGAAATTTTGGAAAAAATTACCATGGACTCTTATGAGCAAGTCAGTCTGCATTGAGTCAATTACAATACTACATTCAAAACTCAAACAAATTTTAAGTTAAGCAAAATTTTTATTAAAAAAGACAACAATCAAGATACTAAAACCTACCTGACCAATGTTCATTTTTTTTCATATGGATTAATGTTATGTGGATTACTTAATGTAACACTGAATAACATACATTAAATAGGAACACTGCCATGCTCTTTCAAAAGCATAGTTTTGCAGCATTCAGGATTGTTTTACAAAGATTTGCAGACTATTGAGCAATAATGCATCCAAGTATATACTGTCCAGGAATTGATTACTTCCAGAACCGACCTCATTTTTTGGGGGGAGGGGGCTTTTTATATATATAAATGTAACTTTGAAAGCAACCATTAATTGCTGGGTTTCTCACACAGGAAAGATAAAAGCCCTTATCATTCTACTCAAATCATCAAGAATTTACCAAGCACTCTGCCCCCTCAGCTGTTAATTCTCCTCTCTAGAGACTTAGGGGAGGAAGAATCTGCAATGTATCGTTTATGAACAAAATCTCGTTATCCATTCCCAGATGTCTAGCTTGAAACCAAGCTATTCAGTTGGCTCCTCATTTGTCTACCGAAGGACTCCTTCTAGGTAGTTATATTGGGTCCACCACATTTTGTTGGATTAATTTTGGATTGGGAAAAAATATTCCCCAAACTGCGGTTGCACTCGTGGTTAGCAATTATCTGGGAAAGAATCCTACTAAGTACTTATCTAAGTCTACCAAATTCAATCAAGCTTTTTTTTTGGGGGGGGGGGAACACTCTTTCCAGTATTAGTAATACTCACCCCCTTTTATCTTCATCTGCTCAACTGAGAAATTCATTATATATTTCTTTGTAATCCAAAATTTTCTTATGCAGTCCAAAAAATTTTAACGGTAACATCACCAAAGCTAAAGACAACTCTGGGAATCAAACCTGCTCTACATGACTCCTGGTTATTCCTTTTGAATTTCAGGACCGGAGGCGCCATCTGAGTAAAATGCCAGCAACATTTTCCTGCTGTGGCTTTCTCAAGAGGCAATCTTGCTATTTTTACCACCAAAAGTATTCCCTCCTTCCATGTGCCCAAACCCCAGATTAGTCTCATGCTGCCAGACATGCCATACTAACTTCCTAGGAACAGAAATTAAAGAAAGGGTTGTCATTTGTATTAACACTTTTTCTTCTCTTCTTCAGGCAAGTAATAAAATGTTTTTCTGATGAATTAAATTTCTAATTGCTATGACAGCACAGTGGGAAAAAAGAAGAATGTCAGTATAACATCCGAGGTAGCTGTGTTTGAACCTATTCATACTGTGAAAATGGTCCATTTTTCTCACAATTTTTAACAAAGTGGTATCATCCATGTTAACATAAAACCAGCTTTAAAACCAACATAATGTTGTGCAAGGATCCTGCTGTTAGAGTCTTCAAGCTGCCTGCAGGAAAGCTCAAATGGATTTACCTGGAGTTTTTTAAAAGCTTTTAAAAAAGTAAACTAAAATTTTGCATGAATTATTTTAGTAAACTAAAATTTTGCATGAACTAGTTTTACTACTAAAGTCTAATTGATAATGCAGGTAAGGTAGAATGCATTTAATTTCTTTATCTAGAATAGCGAAACCGCCCCCCCCCCAACCTTTTGGGCACCAGGAACTGGTTCTATGGAGAGAGGTTTTTCCACAGACTGTGGGGGGGAGAGATGGTTTTGTATGCTGCCTGCATCCCGCGGATGGAGTTTTTCTTGTTTGCCTGGCCCAATCTCTGGCATGCCATGGACTGGTCCCGGTCCACAGACTGGGGCTTGGGGATCCCTGATCTGGATTGGTCTGAATGCATTGGTTTGCCTGCTTTATATAAGCATTACAATAATAAAAGGGAAGTATTAGTAATGCTGAGAAACAAGAAAAAGACAGATTTACAATACAAGGCCTCTAAAAGAAGTGCAAAGAGCCAACTCTTGCATGCTCGATTTTTTAACTAGTGTTTATGCTGTAAAATCTCATTTATTTTCCAGTTCTTTTTTATTTATATAATTATATTGATATTTATATTTTATATATTACATATATTTTACATCTTTTATAAAATATATCTCACATGTTTCTTTTACATTTGGTCCAGGCTGCCTGATGAACCAATTCATCCCTCTAGGACAGCGGTTCTCAAGCTGTGGGTCGCAACCCTTTTGGGGGTCGAACAACGCTTTCACAGGGGTCGCCTAAGACCATCGGAAAACACATATTTCCGATGGTCTTAGGAACCGAGACACTAGTGAGAATTTCTGCTCAAAGCTAGCTTCGCCAGCCAGCTCGGGCAGAGAGGAATGCAGCCGCCTCAGCAGCATGGCGGGGCTGCGCTACCCATCGCAGAGCAGCTACTGCCGCATCACCACGGCTATAAACCTCCTGCTCGGCGTCTTTCAGGTCCTGTTGCCTGGCTTCCATCTGGGAGAAGCGCAGGGCCAAGGTAAAAAAAAAAAAGCCTGGCGAAATACTCCCGAGGGGTAGCGTTGATCTGTAGCGGGAGGTAAGGGGGGCGGGTGGGTGGGTGAGTGGGGATCGACCAGAAGGGAACTGGGTCTGATAAGGGCGAAGGTTGAGTGAGGTTTTCCCCCTCGCCCCTCTCTCCGCCTCCCTTTGTGCAGCGGCATCTCTGGCTGCTGCTTTCCCAGTCGCCGAGAAAGGGGAAAAAAAAGAGCCGTGAGCGAGTTCCCCTTTCTGCCTCGTTGTTTAAAGCTTTTTTTTTAAACGACCTCGGCGCTTGTTTGCACGAGCTTGTGGCAGATCAGTAAATAAAGGGGTGGGGGAGCCAAACCATCCAAGGCGTTTGCACCCTGAACGTGTGGACGCTGCTTTCATGACTTGACACCCCCCCTCTCTCTTTCCGCCCTGCTCGGGCAATGCGTTGCTGCTGCTGCTGCTGGCTGAGCTGAGCTGCAGCACCGAGCCGGTCCCCACGCCTCCTGGTTGCCCAGCTGCGCTCTGCCCCCGGCTGCCCTCCGCGCCACGCCAGAGCCTCCCCCGCGCTGCCCGGCCCGCCTCCCTCGCCATCGGAGGGCATCTGTGTGTGTCTCCAGACCTTACTGGACTACCATCCCCAGTAACCCTAAAAAGCACTGTGGAAGAGTGGGGAATGCCGGGAGTTGCAGTTCATCACCATCTGAAAAAACATGACTCTCCAAAGATCCTTCCTTCCTTCCTTCCTTCCTTCCTTCCTTCCTTCCTTCCTTCCTTCCTTCCATCTCCTTCCCTTCTCCTTCAATCTCTCCTTGCTTGCTTCCTTGCTTGCTTCCTTCCTTCCTTTCCCCCTCAATCTCCTTCCTTCTCCATCTCCTTTCTTTCCCCTTCAATCTTCCTTCCTTCCTTCCATCTCCATCCCTTCCCCTTCAATCTCTCTCCTCCCTCCCTTCCTTCTTTTCCCCTTCAATCTCCTTCCTTCTCCATCTCCTTCCTTTCCTTCAATCTTCCTTCCTTCCTTCCTTCCTTCTCCATCCATTTCCCTTCAATCTCTCTCTCCTTCCTTCCTTCCTCCCTCCCTTCCTTCCTTCCCCCTTCAATCTCCTTCCTTTTCCATCTCCTTCCTTTCCCCTTCAATCTTCCTTCCTTCCTTCCTTCCATCTCCATCCCTTCCCCTTCAATCTTTCTCCTTCCTTCCTTCCCCCCTTCAATCTCCTTCCTTCTCCATCTCCTTCCTTTCCCCTTCAATCTTCCTTCCTTCCATCTCCATCTCCATCCCTTCCACTTCAATCTCTTTCTCCTTCCTTCCTTCCTTCCCCCTTCAATCTCCTTCCTTCTCCATCTCCTTCCTTTCCCCTTCAATCTTCCTTCCTTCCTTCCTTCCTTCCCCTTCTCTCCCTCCCAATATTTTTGAGCAAGGAAGATTAAGCTTCTCCAGCGAGCATTGCTATATTGTTTTTGTGATTAATCACTATGCTTTAATTATGTTCAATTTGTAACAATGAAAATACACCCTGCGTATCAGATATTTACATTACTATTCATAATAGTAGCAAAATTACAGTTATGAAGTAGCAACGAAAATAATTTGGGGGTCACCACAACATGAGGAACTGTATTAAAGGGTCGTGGCATTAGGAAGGTTGAGAACCACTGCTCTAGGACAAGCCCTCCACAATCATGCCAGCAGAGAGGACCTATTACGGATCCCATCATTCAAAGAACTCCAACTAGCGGGATCCAGAAGAGCCTTCTCTACTGTAGCACTTGCACCTTGGAACATCCTACCCTCCAACATGAGATCTACCTTCACTCTCCAATCCTTCTGTAAAAACCTGGAAGACCTGGCTCTGCCGATTGGTCTGGGGATCCAATGGAAGAGGACCCAGACAGGAGGTAAACCCCACCTATCCCCTGCTTCCCCACCCATCCATCTTTTACTCTCATATTGCTCTATCATGCTGCAGTATACAACATGAGAACAAATTAATTTTGTTGTAAGCCATCTAGGCAAATAAGTTTAAGAAATAAATAAATAAATAGCCTCAGTGCATGAGCGTTAAGATGTTTGCCCCTAGTCCAGTGGTTCTCAACCTGTGGGTCGGGACCCCATTTGGGGTCAAACGACCATTTCGCGGGGGTCGCCAAACAATGCAGTCCGCCATTTTTTTCCCTTTTCCCTAGCTGTCCTACTCCCTCTTATTGGTGGCCACACCCACTTTGAGGTCACCACAACATGGGGAACTGTTTTATGGGGTCACGACATTAGAAAGGTTGAGAACCACTGCCCTAGTCAGTGAGACATTATACTGAATCCCCTTTTTTAACGTGGTTTTCCAATAGAGACATCATGAAAAACTGGGGCAACTGCAAAGTGAGAAAATATGGGAATGAGTCAGAGTGCATGACAAAAAGAAACATGCTGATCTGAAGCACGTTCCCTCTGACCAAACTAATGCTTTGCCTAGGTTAGCTCAGCTGAGTCATTTTCTGAAATGCCAGCTGAGGAAAAAAGCCTGAACAATACAGTACGAACTATGTTAAAAACCAGAGTCACTTGCAGTGATTAATTTCTCATCAAAAGAAGCATTTGCCCCTCATTAAAAAGAATGACTGAGAATTTCAATTACCATAGGGCCAATCAGGAGGAATCCAGTGAGCAAATGAAAGCTCTTTTGTTTCTCACTAGGTGAGAAGGATAAGGAAATTATTGCTCAACAGAAAAAATAAATAGGGTGGAGCAATCAGACGTTTTGCAAAGACAGAATTTCCTTTCTCAAATAAATAGATTTAGAATTAAAAAGGTGTCCAAGACAAGTGCTATTTTGACTTTAGGCGCACTTTATGACAAACAAACCCTACTGATTTTAGTAAAGCTGATGTCCAAGAAGTGGGGATGAGTGTATTTAAGCTGCTCTGCTCCACTCTTAAGTATTTTGGAAGTACCATAGACTCAGATATCCTAATCATTTTTAAAACTGTCTTTCGATATTCTTAAATACAACTTCTCTAAACCTAATGCACTTCAGATACACTATCATCACTAATATAACCACCCAGATCACGGGTCTTCAAACTTGGCCCTTTTATGACTTGTGGATTTCCAAAATTCCTCAGACAGGCATGCTGGCTGTGGAATTCTGGGAGTTGAAGTCCACAAGTCATAAAAGAGACAAGTTTGAAGACCCCTGCCCAGATCATGACCCCTCCAACCGACTTACCAGTTGAGGATGATGGAAGCTATAGTCCAACACTGCTAGAAGACTTGGATTTGGACAGGCCATCTTGTGACATGAGACTCAATAAGGAAATGTGTTACATGTTTTTTCTCATGCATCACTGTCAATGTATTCCTCGCTTCTCATTTCTTAAAACTAAGAACTGTTTGTCTTTTGGCTGAATAGAGGGGTCATTACCTTCTGCAGCTCTGTCACATATCGGGCCACAATGAAGGCTGACAGCAAAGTGAACTCTTCTGTTTTTGCAGCAATATAACTATACATCCGCTCCACCAACTGAGCACATTTCAATATAGCTTCAAGTTCATCCACAGACCCTTGGAAAACAAAATGTATTGAGATTTACTTATTGCATTATTATACGGAGGGATGAGAGATAATTATGTTTCACCCATCCCTCAGCAAATCATAGGAGCGAATACAGGTAGTCCTCGACTTACAACAGTTCATTCAGTGACCGTTTGAAGTTACAAGGGCACTGAAAAAAGTGACTTTGGACAGTTTTTCACCCTTAACGACCGTTGCAGCATCCCCATGGTCATGTGATCAAAATTCAGATGCTTGGCAACTGATTCATACTTATGACAGTGTCCCAGGGTCACGTGATCCCGTTGTGACCTTCTGACAAGCAAAGTCAACGGGGAAGCCAGATTCCCTTGACAACCCTGTTGCTAAGTTATCAATTGCTGTGATTCACTTAACAACGGTGATAAGAAAAGTCGTAAAATGGGACAAAATTCACTTAACGATTGTCTCACTTAGCAACTGAAATTTTGGGCTCAATTGTGGCCGTAAGTCGAGGACTTACCTGTATATTGATGGTCATATGAAAGCTTTCCATAAGCAGCTCCTCATAGTTCTGGGCCAGTTATAGCCTGAAGTAACACTTAGTAACTTCCCTGGCATGCTAATATGAGAAAGAAGAGTGTACACTTTTGAGGGTAGTATATGTATAATTAGATCCACTGTATTTTTTTTTTCTGGTTGCTGAATTTGTCCTCTTACATTCGCGATTCCAGTAGGACTCAGTTCTGAAATTCAGAGGATGTAATAACAAGTAGTAATTCAATATGGAAATATTTTAATTGCCCCTAAATTTCTATAAGCCTTACATAGCAAAAATTAAAACGTAAGTACTCATGGGAAATATTTAGAAAGAAAAATCACTTTTACTGTTATGTATATGCTTATTCTGTTTGGGGGAAATGATTTGTGCAGTAAATGGCATCCAAATAGTGCCTACAGCTTTTCTCTTTCCCTAATGTTTAGCAATGCAGGAAAGCACTGCATGGTCTAGATAAGTTTTGATCCAGTCATATGGATTTTCACTCAGAATATATTGAATGGGCTTTATTTCTAAGGGTGGGAGTTAGGATCACAGCTATAGGTACCCATCACACATGGTTAATAACTGATGAACTCAATTCAAACCCAGGAAGACTTACACAGAGAACAACTATAAACCTCAAATGTGGCTAGGTAGACTCTTCCAGACATGCAACATAATTTTACAGTCAGGAAAGGACATGAGTGCAGAACAAGATGAAAATGGAATATAAGATAACATATGTCAAACCTTTGTCTCCTTTTTGCCTCCCTTCGTGCATCACAGAAATAACCAATCGATGAAAACTGTTCAGAAAAGATGGAGCTGCTTTCAGCATCACCTGCATAATAAGTACGTTGACATTAAAATGCAGAGATTCAAAAATCCATACTCAAAGTAAATAAGAGAGACTGAAGGCAGGATTCAAAGCTATGTCTGGCTTTTGAGAATGCAGAAGGAATAGTCTTTTACTTATGTAACAATAATCCATAATCATCATCTATATCAAACGTCAGGGCAGGGTCCTGCCAACCTGCAGCCACAATGGCAGCATCCACATGCATGAGGAAGATGTAGTCAGATTGAGGAAATTCCAAGACATTTTTAAAAAAATATTGCAAAGGAGATAATCTAGAATACTCTAAAGCAGTGGTTCTCAACCTTCCAAATGCCGCGATCCTTTAATACAGTTCCTCATGTTGTGGTGACCCCCAATCATAAAATTATTTTCATTGCTACTTCATAACTGTAATTTTGCTACTGTTATGAATCGTAATGGAAATATCTGATATGCAGGATGTATTTTTATTGTTACGAATTGAACATAATTAAAGCATAGTGATTATGCTTTCCTCTCTTTCTCTCTCTCCTCTCCCTCTCTCCTTTCCTCTCTTTCTTTCTTCTCCCTTTCTCGCTTCCTCTCTTTCTCTTTCTATCTTTCCTCTTTCTCTTTTCTCTCCCTTTCATCTCCCTTTCTTCCCTTTCTCTTTCCTCTTTCTCTCTTTCCACTTTCTTTCCTCTCACTTTCTCTCTTCCCTCTTTCTTTCCTCTCTCCCTCTCTCCTCTTCCTCCCTGTCCTCTCCCTCTCTCTTTCTCTTTCCTCTCTCCCTCTCTCTTTCCTTCTCTCTTTCTCTCTCTCTTTCTCTCTCTCTCTCTCTCCTCTCCCCTCAATATCTCTGGTTTCCCCTTTCAGTGACTCTGGGCAGGTTAGAGTTCAAAGATGTATTACAATTAAAAATACTAAAAACTTTTTAAAAGAGTAATGACAGCAAAACCAATAAAAACAACAGAAGCATCCAAATTAAGTGACCACGCTGGAATAATGCCCATAATAATTGGGCCATGAGGCGCAACTTCCCCCCAGGAGGCAGAAAGAATTCAGGCAAGCAGCATTTTGGAGCCACGCAAGTCAGCCCGGGGCTCGGTCGGGCCCTCCCAGATGCAATTAGGGGCGGCTCCACAGAGTCCCGGGCGCCTGACTCATGGAGGAAGCTGGCCGGGAGCCCACAATTAGCGGGCCCACCAGGAGGCGGCTGACGTGGACATCCCCATGGCGGTCAGGCGCCCCCCGAAGCCAAATGAGATTCCTGGCCAGCTGGCCATGGGGCGAGAACGGGTCCCTCACTGGGGCTGCTCAGCCTTCCCGGCCGGCCAGCTGGCCAGGCCTTTCCAGGGCCAAATCATGCCGAGCTCTGCCTGCCGCAGGAGGGTGAGCCGGGCCAGACTGGGCAGCAGGAAAGGAGGCACACTGCAATTTGCACAACCCCAGTCCCGGTCCAAAGGAGTGCCCCCGCCCCGGTGGATGGGGGCTCGGAGGGGGAAGCCCCTTCCCATGCCCACAAAGCAGCACTTCCTCTCTTGCTCCGGGCGAGGGAAAATGGGCGGAGGTCCCGGGAATGCCAAGCGTGGGGGGGGGGCAGGAAGCAGCAGAAGGCGCTGAAAGGCGCCTGGGGCACCACGGACCGGACTGCGATGTTGCCGCCCCCACTGGGACCGAAGCAATGCCGCTGCCCCAGCAGGACTGCCGTCCAGCCTGGGGAGATGCATGGCTGGCTCAACGGCCCGGGAACGGCCCAGGAACCAATGCCCCTGCCGGCTGCCGCCGCCGCCAGCCGCCACCCCCGCCACCCCTGCCAGTGGCCCGGGGATAGCCCAGGAACTAATGCCCCTGCCGGCCGCCACCCCAACCGGGACTGCCGCCCAGCCCAGGGAGACGCGTGGCCGGCTCAGCTGCCCCTCCGCCTGCTGCAGGTAAGCCAGGGGGGCCGCACTACCTGCCCCGAGGCCGCTTTGCAGGGGTGCTCCACGGACTCAAAGCCCCCTCCCTACCCCTACCACTCACCCTCCATCTCCGGCTCTGCTGCTGCTTGACCAACCGGGGCCGTGGTTTGCGGAAGGTCCAGCCCGCTCAGCAGAGGCTCTGCTGGCCACTCCCACCGGGGATCCCAGGGCTTCCTTGCGTGGTTCCCCGGCCACATGCACCTCGGATGGGGCCAGCCAGGGAAAGGGCCTTTCTGGCCACCCTTCTCCCAGGGGCAGGGCACCTGGCCGCAGGGCCAATCAGGAGCTCTGCGAGGGGGCAAGTCTGCATGAGAGAGAGAGAAAGAGAGAGAGAGAAGGGAAACGCAAGTGCCCCCCCCCCTCTCTCTCTCTCTCTCTCTCTCTGTCTCTCTCTGCAAATGGCGGAGGAGGCTTCGGAGCCGCAGGAGGTTAGGCAACCCCTGTGAAAGGGTCGTTCGACCCCCAAAGGGGTCGCGACCCACAGGTTGAGAACCGCTGCTCTAAAGAGTAAAGCAGCAGGGACAAGGAACTGGGAAGCAGAGGAGATAGGTAGAAGATGGAGGCAGAAACAGAATGGACTTTATTGGTAGAAAAGGACATACAGAAATATTAAAAGGATATGCAAAGAGCCTTCTCTTGTTAGGCTATGTCAACTTCTAGCTAAGGCAAACTATTCTGAAACATCCAAAGGATGGAAACAAGAGATACTGATAGAAATGGATGAAACGCATACAATATATTTAGATAGCTCCGACTCATTCTAAGCTAATTCCTTAATTAATAAGACGGAAGGCCTTCTAAGTCAAGTTACCAAACAAATGCAGTTTTTTTTACAGCAATTGTATTTGGGATGAAGGGAAATGCCTTGGGAACTAGGTGATCATGGCTACATCATCTTTTTTTTTTCTTTTCCACATCCAGGATTGCTGCTGGATCTTTTGAAATGTGCCAGGAATCCAGGGCATGTGAAAAGCAGGATTTAAAAGAGAAAGTGGCTCTGTTCAGAATAAAAACAGCATTTGTCTTAATCTCCATCCAACAGTTTCCATTAAACTGATTTCCCCCACTCATCACAACTTTATCCATGCTAAAAGCCACCAACTTTCATTTTCACATTATTTTTCTAAACTTGAGGTCACTTTTAACAGGAGGTGAACAATTACAGAAAAAGCCTAATGGGGAGGTATACAGCTTTATCCCTCAGGCACTAGATCATGTTTCATATTTTTAAGCCTGCTCCTTACCTTGGGATGACACTGCAATATGGAAAAGAGCACTTCGTGGATTCCCAGAAAGATGCTGTCATACGCCCTCTGGTCAAGAGGGACAGTCAAAAGAATATTAAAAACAAGGGTGACATGATGTGGATTGGAGAGAATCCCTTCTCCCCGCCTAAGAAGAAGAGCTACTGCCTCCAGGATAGGCGCAGAAAGAACAGGGAGCAAGACTGGAGTTTGAGAAGCCTCTTTGATTTGCATCTACATTAGGAGGAAGGAAACACAAACAATAAGACACACACTATATGTGTTAAGGCGTGCTTCTCCAGGCTCATAACGTCCTCTGCAAATTGCACAACTGCTATGTCATTTCTGTAGTAATCAGTGCTCAGTCATTGCAAGGTGCAAATATGGTTGCTCCCTACACAGCGTTTATTGTTTATATACAGTTTACAAGCAGCAAAAGTTTCTGCATGACAATAGCATTTCATTGGCTAAACTCCTTTACCAATCCTCAAGAATATAGAAGCCAGAGGCCCAAAACAGGGATCAATTTGGCAATAACATCTTGTTGGTGTGAGCTAGCTGCTATCAAGCAGGCAAGGTCATTCCAAAGCCTGCGCACTTTCACATCGCCATGGTGATGTGAAGGGAGATTAGATCTAGAGAAGAAGAGGCACACAGGCTTTGGAGGGGCAGTTTTCTGCACACGACCTCAGCCTGGTCCCCACCTCTACACATTTCCAGTATGATTTTCCACAAAGGCAGTAATGTCAATAAATCCATGCCTATCCACCATCCTTCCCTGCCACTGAAAATTTGCTATACAGGTAGTCCTCAATGTACGACCACAACTGACCCCAAAATTTCTGTTGTCAAGTGAGACATTTGTTAAGTGATTATTGCCCCATTTTACGACCTTTCTTGCCACAGTTGTTAAGTGAACCACTGCAGTTGATAAGTTAGTAACCCAGTTGTTGAGTGAATCTGGCTTCCCCATTGACTTTGCTTGTGAGGAGGTTGCAAAAGGTAATCATGTGACCTTGGGACACAGCAACCATCATAAATGTGAAATCTGTCACATGATCATGGAGAGGGGGGGCACACTGTCTGAGGAATTCTGGGAGTTGAAGTCCACAAGTCATAAAAGGGCCAAGTTTGAAGACCCCTGGTCTAGTGGTTAAAACATCAGATTAGAAAGCAAAAGACTATGAGTTCTAGTCTTGCCTTAGCCATGAAACACAGCTGGGTGACTTTGAGCCAGGCACACACTCTTAGCCCAAGCCACGTCACAGGGTTATTGTGCACAACATAGCAGGAAGGATGTGTGCTGGATATGTTCGGGGCCTTGAGTTATTTGTAAAAATAATAAAGGCAGCACAAATAAATAAATAAATATCACAAGGTGCTTCTTGCCATTAACCTGTATATTTTGAACTAGGGGGTTCAAAGTTGTCAGTGACCTACATGCAATGAAGCACAGGCTATTATTCCAGTGCCAAGAAAGCCAGGAGGTTTAGCCATACAGGAAGCTTGGAATACCTAGACTTAGAAAGCATGGAACACTGAGATAGTGTTGATATGAACTATTTAGTTTTTAATCCTCAGACTAAGACTACAATATGAAAGGTCTATGCTTCTTTTTCATGTCTGTGTCTTTGGGGGTGTGTGTCAATGCATAAACATAAACAGGGACCTAAATTCGGTAGCATATGCCTAATCCAGCAGCAGAGGTACTTACAGCTAAAGCAGTCATTATCTGGGGAGTAGAAAACCAGAAAACTTTCTCTTTCTCTCCACTTAGAAGACAGTTGAGTAGTACTTTCAGTAAGGTAACAGCTGATAATACTATCTGTACAAAACACACCAAGAAAATAAGAGTAATAAGCAAATAAGAAAAAGATAAAAGATACAAGCAAAATGCAATGTAGAAAATATTAGGTTAACCAAGATTGTATAAAAGTAAATGAAATTTAAATATACAAAAAACACATAGAAGTGAGTCCCTTAAAATATCTGTATATTAATCATATTTTTAAAAAAAAATTCTGAAGCTTGCCAATGCATAGACAATTGGATAGATAAGCAATTACTTAAGCATTGAATCAACCGATTAAGACTGCAAAATTATATTTTTATGAATAGGTGCAATTATTTTTGGTCACGCATGATAATTAGCTTACACAAAAAATCCTAAAAAATAACCCACATGTAACTCAGGAACTACCTATAATATAAGATTTAGGGGCAGAGTACGCATTTGGTACTCAGAAAGTTTCTGGGTTTAATCCCAACTTCCTCATGCAGAGGGCACAATGGCTCAGCACTTAAAGAGGCTCAGCTTGTCAGCTGGAGCTGTTCAAGATCTGAGTGCCTAGCAACAGGGTGAAATCCTATTCCTGCCCAGTTTCTGCCCACCTAGCAGTTTGAAAGCATGCAAATGCAAGTAGAATATATAGGTATCACTTCAGTGGGAAGGTAACAGCATTCCGTGCACCTTTGGCATATAGCCATGCTGGCCACATGACCCTGGAAATTGTCTTCGGACAATGCTGGTTCCCTCAGCCAAGAAACAGAGATGAGCACCATCCACTAGAGCAGGGGTAGGCAACCTTGGCTCTTTTATGACTCGTGGATTTCAACTCCCAGAATTCCTGAGCCAGCTGTGCTGGCTCAGGAATACTGGGAGTTGAAGTCCACGAGTCATAAAAGAGCCAAGGTTGCCTACCCCTGCACTAGAGTCGGACATGACTAGACAGGGAAACCTTTAACTTTTACCTTCTTCATGTAAAAAAATACTCTATGTAAAAAATACAAAAACGGAAAACCTGTTCAGAAACAAAGCAATTCAAAAGCATGGAACCGGATGAAGGCAAATACTAAGCACCAAGGATTCAAATACATTAAAAAAAAAATTAACATTGTCCCTACTTCAGGATTTTGTTTCCAAAGATTGCAAACATTCAGTCCCTCAATCAGCAGCCTTAACATGGTAGAAAAGTCATCAATGGAAGCATTCTCCACCAGCTGGGCAATCAGTTCAATCAAGGGGACATCTAGATCTTGAATCAACTGGCCTGTGACTTCAGGACCTGCAACAGTTCAAGAGAAACCATCATCCACACTCTTAAGGCCAACAAACTGCTGACAGAGGCCAAACCATTATAGCGCAAAACTTTCCCTCACTTTTTACCCTTTACTTCCCCCATTTGTCAATTATTGAAATGACAAACCAACCCATTCTTTTTCTTTACAGTGCAATAAACGTAACAGCATTTCTCACACACCAACAACCAAGGCTTTTTTTCTCATAGAACGCCCAGAACAGAGTTCCGGCACCTTTTTTGGGATGGAACCTTGTAGAGTAGGCAAGGCGGGTTGTATGACGTGTGTGAGTTCCGGCACCTTTTTTTTTTTTTTTTTAGAAAAAAAGCACTGCCAACAACAACATCTCCTTTTCTGCACCCAGAAGACAGGAGAAGGATGGAAAATCTAGCCTCTCCTGTCATGTGTATGTCTTGCCAAAATCTCGAATTATTTCTTTCAATAGAACTTCTTGTTAATTATAAAATGCATTAGCAGAATTTCACAGTGGAATAGTCACACCAGGAAGCACAATGCCACTAAAGCTCCTTTTCCAAGATGAATAAAAATGGTAATTCTGCAGATACTGTTGAACTACCATGCTAAATATTCTTTATCATAGGCCATGGCGGTAGAACTGCCAAAAGCTGCATCTAGGCAGCCCTTGGTTCCTCCCAACTTCTAAATTAGGCAAGCTGCTACCATTATCAGGTAATTACTGTATTCCACACAACTCTCTGCTTCTCTCTCAGCCAACATAGGCTGTTTTGGGATAGGGGAGGATAGAAGGGGAAACCAGAAGCAATATTCTTCATGCCCAGCAAAGAGATCTAACTAAATAACATCTCCAACCCAGTTTGCTATCAGGCAACAATGGAGAAGCCAATGAAATCTTTCTGCATTCATTCAACTGGCAGAGATCAACTATTTTTTCAAAGAAATTAAAACCTAAATTGTATGATTTTAAGTAGGCACTTTTTGGTGGCTTCAGTTCGTGTTCCAAAAAAAAAAAAAAAAATTCCCAGCAGCTCAGAGTCTGCCCCAAAACAGATAGGGCCCAACCTTTTAGAACCGGTTTTTGTACTAAAGAGAGGGGATTAGGATGTCTTTAAGGAACAAAATATTATCCCCTAAAACAGAGGTCTCCAATCTTTTTGATTTGGTGGCCTGGAAAGGGAGGCAGGAACCGCTACGTGCACACGTGCAAATGGGGGGGGGCGGTATAAGCACTGGCGGGATGCTTGGAGCGGCTCTAGCGCCGATGGGAAGCTTGGGGGTAGAGCGGCGCTAATGCCGGCGGAATGCTATGGGCGGCACTAGCACCGTTGGAATGCTCTGGGGCGAAGCAGCGCTATGCGTGGGACACTCAGGGCGGCAGTAGCGCGAGTGTCGGGGGCGAGTGCCATCCCTTCACACGGCCTGGTGGCCAAGCAGCCATGGCCCAGTAGTGGGCCTTGGCCCACAGGTTGAGGACCCCTGCCCTAAAACTTCTAGGAACCACAAGAAAATCAGGCAGATTGTCCAAAACCCACCCAAAATACACTATGGTGCATTATGGTAAATTCGTATCACTGAATGTGTTTCCAACAGGCCAGGAAGTACATAAAGGTAAAAGGAATAGGATTATAAACAAAACAACACTGACATCTCCTAATCTCTACTAAAGATGTTATCTAGCCTGGTAACAAAACATTTGGAAACTAACTCACAAGCTCAGACAACAAACCTTCACCCTCATTTTAGAGTCACGTCACAGCCATGATAGACAAAAGCATGTTTAGAGATGCCATTAATCTGCCATTGCTGGCCATCCATAATAATTCTGACCTGTCACCTCTTTCATAATCTTTATTATTCCTGGGTGCTGATTTTTGATCCTTGCTCAACACTGGCTCTCTGGAACTGTTTCTAATCTACCATCTTCCTTCAATTTTTAGAAGAGGAGTGAAGAAATAAGAATTGCACTTCCTTACCTGCAAGTAGTTTTCTGACCGAATTAAATACTGCAACAGAAGTTACGTGTGGTAGATACAGTTCTGGCATGGAACAGAAAACAGACAAAAACTGCAAAGCAGAGTGAAGGAACTGGAGGTTATTATGTGCCAAGTCAAGTTCTCTCAATATTTGCACACAAAAGCTTTGATATAATTCCCTGTGAAAAAGTTGCCAGTTTTTGCTTGACTTCATGGGATCTTGTAGTTCATTCTCACCAGCTGCGGGAACCACAGATTGAAAACAAGATGAATCCGCTTTGAGAAGAATAGTAATATATGGTATAAAAGCCAAAGGTAATGGCTGGCCTTTTCTGTTGTTTCTAAGGCAGAACTTGACAGTTGTTCCTGTTTGCAACATGGCCTGTTTAAGAAAAACAGGTAGCATTCCTGAAATCTGTAGTTTTCCACCCGGTTGTTGTTGCAGGTACGTAGCCAGAACATGACACAATGAAATTAATGCCACTAGAAGAACCTGGTCAGCTTCAGCGCTCCAATGGTCAGACTGTCCAGAACTTGTATCACATGGTTGGCAACTTGTTATGAAAGACAGGAAATTTTCCAGGTTCAGTTTCACACTCTGCCTCCTTTCTAGGATGACCTGAAGATAGTGTTCCAAAAAGACTTGGAGCTCATGAAGAAATCCATCCCAAGCATCCATCATCAAGACTCCACCAAAGGTCTTGCAGACTGCAAACATAGAGGAGAGGAGAGCTTTGAGAACATTACTAGCGTACAAAACCTTGAAGGATGAGTTTGCATGTCTTCCGGCCTGTAAGCATGCTAGAAGGTGGAAGCAGGCTGCCAAAAACTTTAAAGATAAGGCTTTGTTGCAAGAAATGCTTGCCCTGGTATTAACTGTCAGAGAAATCAACAGAAGAAAGCATCGTGTGAAATCCAAAGGAAAGAAGCTGTCTACATTCAATGCTGAAATGATCTCTAGTATACTCAAGAGCTCTTTGATATGTTCTTCTTCCAAGGTAGCGTAAGATCCGTCTTTCGCTAATGACAGTATATTGAGAGCAACTTTCTCCATAACTGCCCAGGAGACTGAAAAATCATTGCTAGACCTTATGCTGGCCGCATGACCAGAAGGGATAGCTTCACACCACGGAGCATCTCCTGCACACAGCAACTGAAGAGGCTGATTGGCAATATTTGGAAATGTAGGCGAGAGAACCCTAGCACAGCGCTGAATTATTTGGCTTAGGAAAAAACAGTGCAGCATCTGCAGCTCTGGAAGAAGAGAGCTGTGCAATAAATCCTTAGATAGGTTCTCCATTGTGAATAAGAAATCATCCTCATCAGCAAAAGTTACCTGGGTTTGCTTAACCAATAGTGTTTTCAGGAGCACCTCCGCAATATGCTCTGTATCATTCTCAGAAAGATAGGGAAACAGGACAGGAAGATTTGAGAGTACCAGGTGCCAGTGTGCCACTGGATAAGTATGAGTAGTTATACTACTTGCAATACCATCCCAGGGTTCTAATTCTTCTTTGTTCAGGGAAGCTCTTCCAGACTGAAGAATGAAAGCCGCAGCACTCTGCAATGTCTGATGCAATGCCTCTGTCCAACTGGTGGTGTGCATTAGCATCTTCTTCATTTTTTGAAGCACCAGCCATTCAGTACAGTAGCTGCTCATTGGGGAGGAACCCTTTGCCAGCTTATCTATCTTCTCCCAACACCCTGCATCTAAACCAGGAAATATGGCTGAGAAGTCCCAGCTTTCTTCAGAAGAATCATCAAGCAATGGGGCTAAGGGAGAGCTATACTGCTTGCAGTTTAAGACAAAAAGAGTATCGCTTTCTACCCAGACACAAGCAAGAAGAAGAGCTGAATTACTGATCTTCTCTGTCCAAAGCTCAAGTTCTGTTTTTTCTGCCTCAGAACTTTTCAGCAGGTCAAATAAAACTTGGATGACATTCTTCCGCATTGTCTCCAGGAGGTTCTGGGTGCGACGCACAACAGTCAACGGAGTGGAATCATCTAAACTCTTCATGTGGAAGAGAACAGAAAACAGCAATGTGCTTATGGACAGAAGCTTTGAGGCCGTGTCGGAATCCCCCTTGACATGAGGAATGACAAAAGTCTGACACTTCTCCATTGTGAGGGCTACTATATCCAGTATCTGATTGGATGGCAGATCCAAAAGACACTCACATAGCTTGGCCCTGATACCGGCTGGCAACAGTGGGAGTCTTGACTCTTCTGCAGCAGGACGTAAAATGACTGATAAGATTTCTTGGAAGAGATTTTGGAACTGGCGCAATTTGGTGTAAGTGGAGAAGACAGTGCTAACAAGGGCTGTCTGAGCTTTCTTTGCACGTGGTTCGAAGACCTCTGCATCAATCCAAGCCAAGGCCACCAAGTCATCCAAATCAGGATCCACAATCAAGTGATTTAATGAAATCAAGGCCTTGAGACATCTAAACCAGGCAGGTATGGTGGCCTGCGAATGATTCATTAGCAACTGTGCTAACTGACGGTAAAAATTAAACTGGACTGCTTTGTGCCGAATCCGATCAGCAGCCACATTATAAATATTATTGCTCAGCACCAAATTGAGAAGCTGCTCCACTGCAAGCAGCTCCGAGCTCCACTCTGATGCTGGAAGCTGGTTCTCCCAAAGATTCCCTCGCAGGCAAGAAATCCGTAAGCAGTCGTAAAGTTTGGTAAGCATGTGAAAGCAGACCAAATGGTCTTCCGGCTTATTGTAAGAATCTAAAAAGAGCTTGAAAAGCAGAGGCACTGAATGCGCTACCACTTTTCCATGAAGAGCTTGTTCGCAAAAGGCGGTGTCTCTTAAAGAACTTTGGATTGAATTGGTTGGGAGAAGCAGATTTTTCAAGCCTCCTTTCTTTGTGCCAACAGATTCCTTCTCTGGCAACAGCTCATCTCTGTAGGACGACAAGAGCTCCTGTTGGAAAATACCAGCCTTGAGCAAAGTCTCTACATGATTTCGGACTTCCTTGCTGAGATGTGGATGAATGTGATCATCAGCTGCATCAGTCCATACTTTCACTGTTAGCAGGAATCTAAGCAACAGGCATGGCTGCAGCAGTTGTTGGATCACTTGTCCAAATACGCGATTTGCATTGGTTTGCTGCCGCTGGATTAGAAGATATTGCCTGAGGCTCAGTTGAAGGACATCAAACAACTGGAGGGATACAGGATTTTCTGATGATAACTGCCAGCAGGTTAGCCAGGACAACTTACTCAGAAGATGTACCAGAAGTTCAAATTTTGCAGTATAAACTATTGAAAGAGGAGATTTGGAAAGGATGCCGCTACAACAGCTTAGCACTGCCTTGACATTCTTCAGTGTTTTTTGATTGTAAGCAAGAGAAAGATTTTCATTTATGACCTAAAGACAAGACAAGGTACAAAACAGAAGTTATGTTCAAGGATCTGTATCTAAATGGAACTCAGTTTCTTCTTGTATATTTATTAGTATCTGATAAATCACGTGATATAAACAATTTTCTTTCCCTCCTTTTACATTTTACTCATTTAAAAATTGCACTACCATCTGTTCTGGCTCTTTGTAATGACAGTAATTATGGAAATTCACCCTTATCTTGAGGATCCAAAAGCAAACAGACAAAACATCCTTTACAAATGGATTATAGATAAGGAAGGTTCTATAAAGGTGAAAATCAAATCAGGCAATGACTTTGTAAAAAAAAATAATTATCATACTAGCACAATCTGATTTTTAAAGCAATGTGTGTTTTAGTGGAATTTCACTCAAAAAAAGCATTTCTTGTTGTCAAGCCCCACATAGTTGGCACCTACAAACAAAGAACCACACCAGAATCCAGAAAGGCATATTTAATACAACTCAGAGGTAATAATATAGGTGATCCTGGGGACACAGATAAACCACCAAGTGGCCTCAATGACTGCTAGAAAGAGGGCTAAGATGATTGCAAGAAATATAAATCCTTCCATTCTCCACCATTCAGTCAGAACTGAAGAAACTTCTTGGATGAAAATCAAAACATCTTCAAGCAAAAACAAAGAAAGTCCAGTTGTCTTTTGAAAAACCATCTTTGGGACTTGGATGACTGAAAATCTCCACAGACATTCAGGTAAAAATATACGCTGGAAATCTTAAAAGTCCCTAGGCAGTCTGGGAGCATTTCTCCTCCCTCTCCCCCCCCCTCTCTCTCTCACACACACACACACACACCGATATCAAGGTTGTGCTGCCTTGTTTCACATCAGCTGAATCTTCCATCTGCTTCTCATAGTCTCTCCTATTTTCCCACTAAAAAAACAAAACATCTTTTATCTATCTCCGGAAGCCAAAAATATTATGCTCTGTTAAAACTTTACAACAATTAGTGGGATTTTGTTCTTGAATAACATGTAAGTAGTCAAGTGTAACAATCAATATTCTTTGGCTGGGAAGATATGGCATCTAGTATGTACATTTAAAAGTATCATGTATTGTTCTAAATTTTCATTCACAATTCTATCTCAGGAAGATACGTATTAATTCTTTAAAAAAAACACCCCTATCTATAGCTACAATGTACAATAGTGATACTAAGTTAAAATGTCCAACTATTGAACATACTGGTATCAGACAATATTCCTGCGAGTACCAATATATTTCTATGTGCTGAACATACATACCTGCTTATAGATATTTATAAATGACTGCTGGATTGCAATAGTATTGCCCAAGCTGGCATCTCCCAGATGTGCTGTAACAGCAAATTCCATGGCTGGAATTCTTTGAGTTGCAACCAAGACGCAACTGGAGACAGCTAAACTAGGAAAAGCTGTTCATAAAGAAATACAGCTTCCAGAAAGTATCAGATTATTATGGGAGAGTTGCAAAAAAATTTGCAACAGAAATTATGATTTAAAGAGAAAAGTTTCAGCAGACAGTCAGCAAGATCTCAAAGCAATCTGGGCGCTATTTCCAAAGGAAGATGGATCTACTGTATGTAAAAGTTTATTTCTTTATAAACATACCTGTGCAATGGTAAAACGCAGAGTTACCGTTTTTCCATCCTTGAAGAGATTCTGCAGCTTTTTGCTGTGAATGATGCCATCCAGGTAAATCCAAAGCTTCTCAATTATTTCATCTGGCAATTCAAGTTTCTTATTGTAGCAGGAAACCAAGCTATGACTCACCCAATCAAGTAAGACCTGTATCCATCAAAATACCCATGCATACATATTAACAATGATTATTTTAGATAGGATAGTGACACAAATCAGTTTGAGGCAAATAATGTGATTCCTAAAAATAAACAGATCTGTTTCACTAATACAGGACTTGTAAGGGCAACTCAATACTTACGTATAAATGGCAGGCTTCCAGTATTGTGATTAAAGAGATGACAATATCAAAACATAGAGATTCATTCTACTTCCTTATTAACAGTCCTTACCACCTTGTACATCTGTTATATAGCTTGCAGCTAAAGCTGCCTGTACCTGTAGGACTATATCTGGGCACACACAATCTTTTTCTTTTCTGGTTCTTTTCTTTTCCTCACAATCAGAGACATCTCCCAATTTCCAAAACTCCCATCAAAGATTATTTAAGCTTAAAATTTGGATTCTATATGTATTGGATGTGGGTGATGTGACTCTTCCAAAAATACACTAAGGCTACATTTTCACATGCATGGAAATACTAGGAACTTCAGTGGAATAGAACAATACATTTAATTTTACATGACAAAGAGAAACATAGATAAGACCTACTAGTATATACTACCATGTTTTCCCCAAAATAAGCCCCACCCCGAAAATAAGACCTACCCTGATTTTTAGGGGTGCACCTAATATAAGCCATACCCCCAAAATAAGCCCTAGTTAGGACCCCACCCACTCTGTCCCACCTCGCTGCAGCAATGGGGCAGGAAAGCGCATGTGCCACTGCTGCCACGAGGCGAGGCAGGCAGGGGAGGGAGTGGAGCTGCCCCACGCATCCCGCACCTGTTTCCTTCAGGGCCCCCCAGTCAGGCCATTCCTTGCTCGGCGACCTTCCCTTTCACTCCTCTCCCAAACCGGACTGCCATGCTACGGAGGATGGGTGGGGTAGGCCTGGTCCCCCTCCGCCATTTCGAAGCCAGTGGGGAATGATGGCGAAAGGCTCTGCTGCTGCTGTGCACTGCAGGAGAGGCTTTCTTCGTGTTTCACCCCATAGATCACTTGCCCGACGGCAGCTGCTGCCTCCTTCTTCTCTACCAACTCTCCCATGGCTTGCACCGTGACCAAGCGGCACAAGCCTCCCACGCCGCCTCCCGCCGCCAGCCCTCAATCTGGAAAATAATGAATTATTCTCACAAATTACAGAAGATTTTCTGCTACTAACGGACCCTTAACTCTAGATAAGTTGCTATGTACAGACTTAACAAAATTCAGTCCTTATATAGCATACTAAATCACATGTCTCTGGTTTCAGTCAATGTTGGTCTTGTGTGTCCAGGGATATGTCCCATGTTCCCAGTAATATCAGAGGTGCCACCATATTAGGAATCCTTAATTGTGACTAGATGACAGAGTTAATAACTTTTTAGTTTGGTTTCAAAGGGCAATGTACTAATTTTTAAAGATCTATATCTGCATGGTACATTGGTATTTCATGGATGAAATCCAATGTTAGGAGTATGTTTCTGCTTGAATTACAGATCTTTTCTTTCTCCAACCTTCTGCATGTCCTCAAAATCTTTTCATGAAGCAGCTGCAAAAAGGCAAGGAAATCTCCCTTTTCTCCTTTAAAAATCCACCTAAAATGTGTTCAAAATTGTTGTCCTCCAAATATACTCTTGATTAGGGAAAGAAATATTTTTAACAAAGACAATGTAGCCTGCGAGTCTCCTGGACTGCAAGGCGATCAAACCAGTCAGTCCTAGAGGAGATCAACCCTGACTGCTCTTTAGAAGGCCAGATCCTGAAGTTGAAACTCAAATACTTTGGCCACCTAATGAGAAGGAAGGACTCACTGGTGAAGAGCCTAATGCTGGGAAAGACTGATGGCAATAGAAGGGGACGACAGAGAATGAGGTGGCTGGATGGAGTCACTGAAGCAGCAGGCTTGAGGTTAAATGGACTCCAGAAGATGGTAGAGGACAGGAAGGCCTAGAGGAATGTTGTCCATGGGGTCGCAATGGCTCTGACACGACTTCGCAACTCTCAATAATAGCAATAGAGCCTTAAAGGTAGGTAAACTTTTAAAATGGTGAAAGAAAGGCACTAGATGTTTACAAAAATATCCAGTACTGTATATTTATATTTCCTTCAAACACAATTTCTAACATTACAGAAATATAGTAAGAATGGTGTGTTGTGATAAAAACATCCTCTCATGAAAAACAAAACAATTTGACATTTGTGCTATTCAAATGCTTCTTCGAACATCAAATTAATTCTCATCCACTGTCACTTAAACTTGGATAAAATAAATTATTAAAAAGTTTTAAAAAACTAAGCTCCTTTTTGGTTGAAGAAAGAGTGCCAAGCAGGTTCAAGACTTCCTAATATAAAAACAGCATGGAAAATCTTTTAAGACAGAAACTTGGCCTTTTATGACACGCTGGCTGAGGAATTCTGGGAGTTGAAGTCCACACGTCATAAAAGGGCCAAGTTTGAGGACCCCTGTTTTAAGGGAAAACATATAATGAAATACATTACTTGTTCTTTGTTTGGAAGGAAACATTGATGAGAAATCCATGCAAACCGGGCCAACTTGAGTTTGTCCTCCCAAGATGTCTTTGAGCTTTTCAGCTTCAGATGAATTCCAGAGTAAACTGCAGCCATGGAAGGAGCACCTGAAAATTATTTAAAGCTAAATAAATTATGTTTCTAGCCAAATGTTCATGACAGCTCCTTAAAACTGCTGCATATCTGTTCCGGTCTGCAGTATAGTTGATACCGGTTGAAAAAAGCAAGTTCTATAATTCAATTCTCATACCACCTAAGAATTCATTCATGGTACAGGTAATCCTCAACTTATGACCGCAATTGGAACCAGAATTTCCATTCCTAAGCAAGGTGATTCTTAAGTGAGTCACGCCCAATTTTACAATCTTTCTGCCACAGGTTTCCCCATTGACTTTATTGTCAGAAGCCAGATGGGAAGTTTGCAAATGGCAATCACGTGACCCTGGAATGCTGCAACCTTTTGCAAATACAAACTGTTACCAAGTGTGGACATTTTGATCATGTGACCACAAGGATGATGCAACAAGTCACAAGTGCAAAAATTGGTCATAAGTCGCTTTTTTTGAAGCTGTTGTAACTTTAAACAATCACTAAATTAATGGTTGTAAGTCAAAGACTATCTGTAGTCATTCACAAGGTTGCATTTATACTGCCTGTCCACCATTGTAATATTGGGATAAAATAAAGAACAAATGCTAATCAACTTTGAAGGGTTACTCTAACACCACTGGGGGACCTTAAATTCCTTTTCTGGCGCTTAAGAAATAAAGAGAATATCTGCTGAAGGAAAAAATAATCTAATGTTAAGAGATGCCTAGATTTCCTTTCATAAGCATTTCAGCAGAATAAACAATGTTTTGAAGGATCTGTTCTTTCCCGATTAGAATCAAGCTGTAAGCCAAGGGTAGGCACACATGAACTTCAATTCCCAGAATTATGACACATGAACTTCAATTCCCAGAATTCCTGAGACAGACATTCTGGGAGTTGAAGTTCACAGATCATAAAGGCGCCATAGTTGCCCACTCCTGCTGTAAGCTGTATCCCCAACAGACAATAGAGTTGGAAGGGACTTTGGAAGTCTTCTAGTCCAGGGCTTTTCAACCCGTGGTACATGTACCACTGGTGGTACTTCGGCACCTGGCAAGTGGTACACATACAACAGGTTGAAAAGCACTGTAACAAAAAAAAGTGGAATAGAATGGAATCGAATAGAATAGAACAGAGAATAATAACTTTGTCACTTTGAATGTACACTAATCGGCATACATTAAAATGAAATTGAATTGCATACAGCTCTCAAAGGGTCACCACCTCCAATATACACTATATAAAATGACAAAAATAAATACCGAATTACGCATATACACAAATATTATATGACAGAGAAACAACAGTCTAGTTCGGGTTATGTATACATGTGCAGTGTATAGTGGGGGGGGGAAGAGCTAAAGGAGCAGCAGCGCCGCACAGGCTTGTGGGAGAATCAGCTGTAGCTGCTGTGTTGCCAGGGCTCTGCTGAGCGCCCAGGATCTGTGCGCGGCTCCAGCTGATTGGCGCTTCCAGGAGCAAAATGCAGCCTGGGGGAGAGGAGTCAGCTGGAGTTGCACCGAAGAGAAAAAGAGGAGGCGGGGAAGAAAGGATATAAAAGGAGGTGGCTTTGGTGGGAAAGGGAGAGAAAGAGATACGAAGAAGAGAGACTTCTTTGAGACAAAGGGAGAGGAGATAGAACAGTGCAAAGATTAATGACAGAGAAACAGGCACTGGTTTCTTGTGAAAAGTGTGGTAAGTGAGTCTACAGATAGTCCTCAACTTATGACCACAATTGAGCCCAAAATTTGTGTTGCTATGAGAAATTTGTTAAATGACTTTTGCCCCATTTTATGACTTTTCTTGCCACATTTGTTAAGCAGTTGTTAAATTAGTAACAGTTGTTAAGTGAGTCTGGTTTCCCCATTGACTTTGCTTGTCAGAAGGCTGCAAAAGGGGATCACGTGACCTTGAAACACTGCAACCATCATAAATATGAATCAGTTGCCAAGCATCCGAATGTAAATCACGTGACCCTGGGGATGCTGCAACGGTCATAAGTGTGAAAAATGGTCTTAAGTCGTTTTTTTCAGTAACAGTCACTAAGCGAACTGCTGTAAGTTGAGGACTACCTGTACTTTATCACTTTTTTCATCTTTTTTGGTCATCAAGTTTTTGACACCTTCCTAGGCGACTGATGGTACTCAAATATTTCCATATCCTAAAAATGGTACAATCTGTGAAAAGGTTGAAAAGCACTAGTCCAACCCCTGTTCAAGCAGGAGACCCTATACCAGGGGTAGGCAACCTTGGCTCTTTCATGACTCGTGGACTTCAACTCCCAGAATTCAATTCTGGAATTGAAGTCCACGAGTCATAAAAGATGCTGGCCCAGGAATTCTGGGAATTGAAGTCCACGAGTCATAAAAGAGTCAAGGTTGCCTACCCCTGCCCTATACCATTTCAGACAAGTAGCTATCCAGTCTCTTCTTAAAAGCCTCCAGGGATAAAGCACTCTCAACTTCTGAAGGCAAGTTGTTCCACTGGTTAATTGTTTTCACTGTTAGAAAATTCCTCCTTAATTCTAGGTTGCTTCTCTCCTTGATTAGTTTCCATCTATTGCTTCTTGATCTGCCTTCGGTACTTTAGAAAATAGGTTCAGAGAATAGTATCAGAGAGTGAAAAGGGCAAACTGGCACTGTTTAGAAAATGAACTAGCTAACCAAGTGCACCTAAGCACAGTAAGTCATGTTAAGATTACCATTTCATTCTATGACAGCCTTCTTCTACCTTTTCCTGTTCTTATAGCAGCAAGGTGTGTCCTCAGTGAGACTGTGCATAGAGATTAGATATATATCAACGCTGAGCAGCACTTCAAGTGCACTGTCCAAAAAGGGTTTGCAGCACCCAGAAAAAGGTACTGATTCTTTAAGGTAAAGATAAGCGCTACATTCATTTTCCTGCACATACCATGCAATTACGGGGATATGACTGTTTCAATAAAAATTGTTCAAATCAATAAAGTTTCTTGTCTCTTATCACTGTCAAACCTCTGTTTATTATTAAGTTTGAATATGCACATTAACTAATCAGATTCTTACTGCTGATTTGCTGACTGCTTACTTATTATAGACTTTATTATAGATTTACTATAGTGTCTTCCCCCAGACATAGAAACAACCTACCAAAATGGTCTCTCATTTCCAAATTCATGTAAGAAACACTTCAAACACCCTGCCAGTAGTTTTCATACAGCAACCACAATCCCATCTCAGTATCATTCAGTTCCAATGCTAACATCAGGATTTCAACAGTGCCCCATGAAAACATACAATCAGCAGGCATACTTATGCCTTCTATGTTTTAAACTATAATTTCAATCCAACCTAACTTTGCATGACTTACAGTTAAAGAAAAGAATGAACAACCATTTGTCTGAAATGGTATATGGCTTTCTGCTTGAGCAGGGGGTTGGACTAGAAGACTTCCAAGGTCCCTTCCAACTCTGTTATTCTGTTATATCTAGCATATGCCCTGCTAAGGGTCCATGCCTCGCCATCAACTGACCCCCAACTAAATTAAGAAGCAGTAAATTCAGAGCAGACTATATAACTTCCAGGAAAGTTTGCCTTTTAACACAAGAAATAAAAGGGCTTCCCCGTGGTTTCCTCCTCAGAATCGCTTATCTGAAATGTTAAGTTTGCAAACCGAATGAGAGCTGCTTACAAATCAGTCTGCAAAAGACCGGCTTCTTGCTGCCTTCCAAAACTTGCCGCTCTGCCAGATAACAGCTTCCAGAGTCCCTTGCTGTTAGATCACTAAAATAAAGAGAACTGGCTTCACTTCCACAGTCCACCTATTGCTTAGGCACAAGTTACGTTAGCGAGAGGATGCAGAGGACTGTAATCCAACCGAGCTTCAAGGCTACTCTGATGGCGGCGCGCATTTGCACAGTCCCGCGGACACTCCGGCAGGCTTCCTCCGGCCCGGGACGGCTACGGCGGGGAGGACACCTCCTCTTCCCACGAGCTTCCCAGATGCCCCACGCACGTGTTCCTCCTTCCGGAACCTCCTCGTGCTCTTCTCGGTCACCTAATTATCCGGATGAAGGGAACCGGGAAGGCCTTCCTAGCTGAGCGTCGAAAAGAAAGAGCGCCTTTCCATTGGCTAGAAGGCCACGCCTGCGCAATCGCCTTTCTCCCTGCCTTTTCCCCCCCCCTCCCCACCCCGGTTTCTCCGAGTCAGTTCCGTCAGTCATGGAGCGGCGGTTTTCAGCCGCGACAGTCATCGAGCTCACGCCACCAGCCCTTGCAACGCGGGACGTCCGAGCCAGCTTAGTTTGCAGAAGACTCACCCAGGAGGAAAAACTGTTCGCGCCACCACCGGAGTCTGCGATCTTCGCAACCACCAGCAGCAACAGCGGCGGAGTCGTCTCGCGCGGCTGGGCGCAGTGACTGACGGCGCGAACCCAGGAATTCTGCCGCGTGCCTGCATTAGGAATCACCCACGTTCGCCGCGGCTAGCGTGCTCCCTTTCTCTTTCTCTCTCCCTTCTTCCACGCCCGCAATGCTCCAGTGAGTATATTTCTTCCCCGCGGAGCAGCCCCTTTGCTCGGGCGGGTGGAGAGTCGAGACAAGCCGAGCTGCGCGCGGAAGCGCTCTCGGGCCCTCCCTGGGTAAAGTCGGGCTCTTGGCTTCGGTTTTTCCCCTCTTCCCGCCGGTGCAGCTGCCGGAGCGGCAGGAAGAGCTGGGTGTCTTCTGGCTGTGCATGCTTCTCGATCATCTTTTTATCCCTCTTTTCTTGCCTTCCTCCCCGTGTTTTTGCAATTGCTTTCCCTGGGGACGGATGTGGCGGAAAAGGCATAGAAACGGGAGATCGTTTGTACATCTTGCCTTGTTAAGGTTTGGAGCATGAAGCCACAGTCCGTGAAACTTTTGAATAAGTGGACTTTATATCTGGCCGCCGTGTATTAGGTTATGTTTCATCTTTTGCTTTCTTGATACTGAGCAAATAGAAATCCGCGTAGAGTTTAAATAAAATAGCCACAGTAGGGATTAGCAGTAATTTTAATTCTATTGTACTGTTCGAAATATCATTACTGCTTATTGTACAGAAACAGTTGACGACCCAAGACTGTTGGTTATGTCAGGAGTAGTATTTAAGGGGACATGTCTCTGATTGATGGAGAAAAAAATATCATTTGCAGGCTGAACAATTAGGAGGGGAGGCAACAATTCAGCCAGCATGGTAAGTTATGAAAGTTATGGAAAGCCACAAATTCCCCACCTATGATATCACCTGGAGTATTCATAATCAATACTACTGTATAATGTTGAAAATTGTTTGCAAATAAAGATTTCCAAGCAATTTAAATTTGATGGGTGCCATGAAATCTAAAAAGTTAGATTCTCAGTGAACACAGTGATTATGGTTTATCTGATCAATAGACAGGTTAAAAACATTGTTCTATGTGATGTATAAATGAAGCCAGTGACAATTTGAAATTTTCTTTGACAAAATCCTTGCCCAACATTTTGTTAAGGTTTTATTTAAAAAAAAAACATAAGCCTAAAAGTATTTCATTGTCATAAATCCTATCCATCTCAAAATGCTGAAATCTAAACACTACCTTCTAATATTGTATGAGGGGTTCTCTCGGACTGAAATATGGCAGAAACTTGCAGCTTACAGTAACTATATCTCAAGAAAAGTCTACATAAAACTCATGATTTTACTGTTTCCTTGCAACTAAAATTCTGCTCTTTCTTTGAAGGTCATGAAACGTGTACGCACCGAACAGATTCAGATGGCTGTTTCCTGCTATGTCAAGCGCAGGCAGTACGTAGACTCAGAAGGTCCTCTGAAACAAGGGTTGCGCTTATGCCACACAGCCGAAGAAATGGCAGCTAATCTAACAGGTATGCAAGAAAGGAAAAATGAAATTATTTTTATAGTACTACAAAATGTCTAAGCATTTACTTTGAATATACTTGGGAAGAGACTGAACATAGTGAATCCAATTCAGCAGCATTCGGGAGAGGGGGGGGCTCAGAAAAGTCAAAATGATAGCCAGGAATGCTTGATCAAAGTCTTATGCTTTTTGCATGAACAATGCACTCAAGGAGTAGGATTTTTATTACATAGTTGCAACTACCATCTTGATTTATTTGATATACTCTGCAGACATCTGTGTAAGCAGGATTGTAATTGAAATGATTTATTTATAAATATTTTCATTATTATAATAATTAAAAATAATTTCATAATTATAAAAATATTTATTTTTTATTTATTGTATTCCATCTTCATTATTTTTACAAATAATTCAAGGTGGCGAATATATCCAACAGATCTTCCTCTTATTTTCCCTCTAACAACAATTCTGTGGGGTGGGCTGGGTCAGAATGAGAGAGAATGACTAACCCAAACCTGCTAAGCCTTTTTTGTGGCTAAGGTGGGACTTGAACCCAGAGTGTTCTGCTTTCTAGCCCTGTGCCTTAATCACTTGACTAAACTGGTTCTTTAACTAATCAGTTAATATTTGCAAGGAAAACTTGCTAGAGATTTTGAAATAAGAAGATATAATGAAATATCTGCTAATGCTGAATGTTTGAAAATGACTCATTTGGGAACTGCATCTTTAAATTATTACTGTATATCTTGAAATGTTGAAATAAACTGCACTTTTATTGATTTAGTTAATTAGTTAAATTAACCACTGAATTGGAACATTTATTTCATAAGTGAAATTAAAATTATGGGAGGTTGTGTGGTTCAGAAGTGTATATGTTCTAAACCTATGAGGTCATACATATTTAAAATCTTGATGTGATTCTGGGTTCTATGGATATATTAAAATCTAAATAACTTAAGGATGTTATGTCATTTTTGGACAGTTCTATGAGAAATAATTGCATTTTAAAACAGCAATAAAGTGTGCAACTTGAAGTTATGATTGGGGGAGAAATACCAGGGGCCATACTTACATAAGCAACTACATTAGTTTTTTGTTTGAAATCTATGTTGATCTACTTTTTCAGGTTATATGAGAGGAGTTCATCTCTATGCAAACATCTTATGTGTTTTTTCCATGAATATGTTGGAGGCATTATTAGTGTATTTGAGTGTGTGTGTCTAAAACAGTAAAAACAGCTTCATAGGAAAAAGGATATATGCACTGCTCATTCTTGTTTGCAGTGATGCTGGGATTCATGTTAAATTACCTTAGCCAAATCTTCAGAGCTCATTATTTTTGTATAACTTGTGTAAACCCACAGACAATGAATGCAAGACTCTAATTAAATTAATAGAATTTAAATTATATAGGATTTGCATGGTACAAGCTGATTAAGATATATTCCTATTTCCTAAAGTGTCTTTTTTCCATTTTTGAGAATTATTAGCCAACGTAATTGCAAAAGTTGCTTCTAGATTTTTTGTGGGATTTTTATGGGACGCTAACAATGAAATTTAGGTTTCCAGCTTGAAGGAAACTAATTAATTGTAGAGGTTCCACTATAAGCACAATCTGTAGTGATGCTGAGCCACAGATCTAGCCATCCTGAGGAGTTATTTGTAGACATAATCTAGAAAATTATTTCAGTCTCACAATGAGATGAATCAAACCAGTGCTCAGGAAGGAAAAGGGATTTTATGCCCCTCTGGCCCTCCCAGTTCTTTGCTTACCCAAAGGTGGGGAGGAGTTGCTGAAAGGCTTCCTAAAAAAAATCAGACAAAGGTATATTTTGCTAGCAGGAGCTCTGTGATCAGAGTCTCTGCCTTTGATTGCCTGAAATAACTCAGCAGGTCAGCGGTTCAAATCTCACCGGCTCAAGGTTGACTCAGCCTTCCATCCTTCCGGGGTAGGTAAAATGAGGACCCAGATTGTTGGGGGCAATGTAAATATATATATACATTGCTTACTGGTGTACACCGCTTAGAGAGTGCTTGCACTTAAAGCGGTATATAAGTCTCATAAATAAATAAATAAATAAATTTTGCATCTCTCATGCCACAGTACTGCATATAGAAATGCCTCAGTGGAATTTCAGAGGACGGGAAAGGTCTCTTTCCTTCATTCCTCTTACCCATGTTCCTTTTAAAATTGTGTAAGATCAGTTCACGCAGTTAGTGAAGCCCTCTTTGCTTAATTAGGATTCTAGATTGCATAGATAGCTATACTCAAGGTAAAATTAGTATGAGTACAGTTCTTCAGATTTTATGGTGGACATTTAGATGGGCATCTAAAAATGATAATGGATTATATGGTTATTGAATAATCTCCACTTAATTTAGGAATGGGCCTAGCTCAAAGGAAATAATGTATTCCAACATTTCACGTGCCATCAATTTTTTGTGATAGTAGTCTCTGATAACAAGGTATGCTAAATACTAATTTTTGTGTGTGGCATGGTTAGTTTAGTTACATATGTGAATTCATTCTATATCGTGAAAAAAGTAAACTTGATTGATAGAAATATAAGCCATTACCTTAACAATCTTAACTTGTTTGTAAACTTTACATACACAGAAGAAGTATACCAAGAATGGGGGATTATTTTCAACCTGATTAGTACCCTTTCCATTTGTCCTATAAAAATAATGGAAACTGGTATTTACTAGATTGTTTTAAAAATGCAAAAGTTATGTATTTGAATAAAAAAGCAGCAAGTTACATTGCAGCATTCAATGCCTTTGAAAGCCAATTGTCTTCATTTTTGTTTATTTTTTTTAGTACAATCTGAATCGGGTTGTACAAATGTGATTTCTGCTGCGCCCTGCTTAGCAGAGCCCCAACAATATGAAGTACAGTTTGGGCGGTTGCGGAACTTTCTAACAGGTGAGTAAAATCCAGATTGGAGTTATAGATTTGTTAAGTGAAAAGTTCCTTGACATTGTATGCCAGATTTAAAGGTCAAGCAGATTTCTCCAGCACTGCATGTATGCTTTTTTAGACAGTTGCATAACTGTTGTATTCATACATTTGCAAATGTTAACATTCTGGCTAGGGAACACTCAAACAGCAATGCACAGAACAAGTCAGATCAATCAATCAGCATGCAGGACGCACACACCTGCACGACATGGGAAGTGTTTGCGTTGACCCGTCTGCAGCCATTTGCAAGCTACACTTACCCATCAACCTCTTTGCCATGTGGATATGCGGTAACGACTACAGGCAGTTGCGGGTAACTCTAGTCTAAACCAACCTTTAGTCATTGGGCCAAGAATGTGATTTTTCAAATGCCATTGGAATGTTAGTCCCTGTATCTTCCATTTCTAACTCTTATCTCTACTCTGATGGCGTGTTATTCTCCACCACAAATGCCAAAACAAAATAAAGAACTCCCTGACTGGAGTTCCATAGATGGAATGGCATTCTGTTATCAGAGCAATTTTTTTAAAGCGCCAGAGTGTAACTGGCTACTTATTTGCCCACCCTTAATTCTGCCATAGACAGGGTTCCTATGTGAGTTTTAAAATTATCCTGTATTTCGTAATGTTGAATATTTCCTGATTTGTTTTTAAAAATCTAATCAAAAGGCTATCTGTAAAAGGGGTGAGGGATGGCTTGCTTAATTTTCACTCTAATATCTGCTGAGTCCTCAGTGAGGAAAAAGTGATCTTTCTTTATCTTTGATGTTTAGATTCAGATTCCCAGCATAGCCAGGAAGTGATGCCTCTCCTGTACCCTCTCTTTGTCTACCTCCATCTCAACATGGTCCAAAATGGCCTAAAGAGCACAATGGACAGTTTCTACAGTCGCTTCCATGGGATGTTCTTACAGAATGCCAGCCAGAAAGACATCATTGAACAGTTACAAACTACATTAACAATTCAAGACATCCTGTCCAACTTCAAGCTTCGGGCATTTCTGGACAATAAGTATGTGATCCGCCTTCAGGAAGACAGCTACAACTTCCTCCTCCGCTACCTCCAGAGCGATAATAACAGTGCTCTCTGCAAAGTCCTATCCTTGCACATTCACCTAGATGTGCAGCCTGCCAAGAGAGTGGACTACCAGCTCTATGCTAGTGGTGGCTCTTCACGCAGTGAGAGCAATGGCCTAGAACCCACTGACATGCCTGCTTCCATCCTGCAGAATGAGGCAGCCTTGGACCTCTTGCAAGATAGCATTAAAAGAGTCAAAGATGGGCCACCATCCCTTACTACCATATGTTTCTATGCATTCTATAATACTGAACAGTTGCTGAACACAGCAGAGATCTCGCCAAATAGCAAGCTGCTGGCTGCTGGTTTTGACAATTCCTGTGTAAAGCTGTGGAGCTTGCGGCCCAAGAAGCTGAAATCTGAGCCTCATTTAGTAGATATTTCCCGAATCCACTTGGCCTGTGATATCTTGGATGAAGAGGTCAGAGAATCTTATTTATCCTGAAAATTTTTGGAATCATAGGTAGAATGTATTATTTTTAGGTTGAAATGTTTTATGTGAGAGATTTTAAAAATTGTCATGTTCTCACAACCAAATCAAAAGCAAAATCTGTCTCACACTGGTGCTTTCCTTCTACCTGTTAGTCATATGGGTAGGCTGGGCAGTGTGAAATAATAGAGAGCTAACAATATTTTGTGTGGGTAAAGACTTAGGTTAAAACTATCCATATACCCACCTCTGATAATAGTAAAACTGATCAAATACTTGACCTTATTTAATTGCCCACTTCATTAGCCAATTATAACTCCTAATGGTGGCAGTTTCATTCTTCATTTGCATTTACAGTAATACACCTCAACTTTTGAAAGGCACAAATCAAGGTGAATTTAACATTTGAGTCCAAATGGGAGACTCAGGAAGTGCTTTAAGTTATAATCTCAAATTCATTCATTGGAGGAAAGTTACTTATAGGTTGCATGTACTCCAGTATGAGCTTTAAATGTTCAGGGTGATTTTAAGATAGAATTCAATAAGATGCATGATTAATCCAGCTATTATTTCTACCTCTACTGTAAGTGGCATAACTGCTTAAACACAGCAGTATTAACAATTGCCTAAAATAATTCCTAAAGTAGTCTTGTGTCAGTAATGCCTAAAGCAGATTGGTCAGTAATCAAAATAAGTGACTTCACTTTCAGTATAGATATAATTTTATAGATCTGTAGTAGAATTGAGGGTGGCGGCAGGAGCACCTTAATGAAAGAAAGGAACTGTCTCTTAGTCTTCTGATTGTAGCACAAGATTTGTATATTTTATTATTTTTCTTAAAAAACAAAGGTACAAAATCTTTTGCATCATACAATTTTCTGTCTGCAAAAAATGAATAATAAGGAAGACCCAGTTACATGTTATTATATATCCAGCTGTTAACATAATCCAAATAATATATTTGCAGAGGATGCAAAACATCTTAATTCCTCCGGCTCTTTGTGTACGTCTCTACAGCAAGTTATTATGATTCAGTAACATATATACAGAATTCTTTTTTGACCTGTAAGCAGTTTTAATATTCCAGCCATGGATCAGATATAGAAATATAGAATAAAATAGAAATAGCAATGCCTGTTTCCGTCCCTCAGGTACATTTCAGATGGTCCTTCTTAGAAACAGTTGCTCTTTGGAACAACAGTTATTATATGGTGTCCCTTGGGACTCCATATCATTTTCAGTACTTCTCAACATCTGCATGAAATGGGAGAGAGCTCATCAAGAGATTTGAAACTCAGTGTTATGGTATATTGTTGACACCCAGATCTATTTCTCTATAAAAACATTGAGTAATGAAATGATTTATGTAAATGTCTGGTTGTTATTAATACTGGTAGTTGAAGGCAACAGTATTGGATTGATTATTCACTGAATGAGGTACTAATTTCATGTAAGTTATAGTTTTAAGTTCCAATAGGCCTCCATTCTCCCAGAAGGAGAATCAGCAGAAGCAGATGCACTCTCTATGCCATTTCTTGGATAAAATGATATTAGTGGTACACAAGCTGAAAATTTCTAAGCTTGATTTCTCTACATAAGGCTGCTTTTATATTTGAGCCACAAACTTTAGTTAGTGTAGGATTTGGCAGCCAAATTGGTCTTTGAGAAGGACTCAAGAAGATCACATTTTACAAGTACTTGGGAGTGTTTCACTGACAGCCTATTTATTTCTGTTAGTTGTAACTGGTAAAAATTCTGGAACATTTTGACAACAAAATGTTGTCCTGTTATTGCTTTAATAAAGACATTAAAAAAGCAAAGCCTAGAGAAAAATCATCTGAAGAAACTTCTTTATTCTCTTTACAGGCTGAAGATGATGATGATGTAGGAACTGAAATGAAGTTATTAAGAGGGCACTCTGGACCAGTGTATAGCACAAGTTTTTTGTCAGACAGTTCAGGATTGCTGTCATGCTCTGAAGATACAACTATCAGATACTGGGATCTTGGATGTTTTACAAACACTGTCTTGTACCAAGGACATGCTTATCCGGTGTGGGACCTGGACATCAGCCCTTGCAGTTTGTACTTTGCTAGTGCTTCTCATGACCGTACAGCAAGACTCTGGTCATTTGATCGGACGTATCCCCTACGGATATACGCGGGCCATTTAGCAGATGTCGACTGCATCAAATTTCATCCAAATTCTAACTACTTGGCAACAGGATCTACAGACAAAACAGTGCGCCTCTGGAGTACCCAGCAAGGAAACACAGTACGTCTGTTTACAGGTCACCGGGGTCCTGTCCTGTCCCTTGCTTTTTCTCCCAATGGTAAGTACTTGGCCTCGGCAGGTGAAGACCAGCGCTTAAAACTGTGGGACTTGGCATCTGGAACTCTTTACAAAGAACTGCGGGGGCATACAGATAATATCACCAGCCTTACTTTTAGTCCAGATAGTAGTTTGATTGCTTCTGCATCAATGGACAACTCTGTTCGGGTTTGGGATATTCGAAACACTTACTGCAATGCTCCTGTAGACGGCTCTTCCAGCGAGCTAGTTGGAGTATATACTGGACAGATCAATAATGTACTGAGTGTACAGTTTATGGCCTGTAACCTTCTTTTAGTGACTGGAATTGCACAAGAGAATCAGGAACATTAGCCTTTTTGAAAATGGGACAGATGTTATTGAAAACTAGAGTCTATTATAAACTGAGATTATATATAATTGACTGTGAATTTTTCCCTCTCCCTTTGTTAGACATCCAGAATGATGGAATTACTGTATTTGAAAGTATCTTTTATTTTTGTAAAAATGATAGGAAGGGAAAGCAATAGAAGAATTTCACCGTAGTTCTACATTAGTGCAAAGTTAGGAAGCAATGTAATAAAATGAACAGCCCAGAATATTTTGGTACAGTATAGGGGTAGTCCAAAACCTGGTCCAAACAAGTAAAATCATCACTGGAGCATTTGCACTTAAATATCCTGCATTGATGGGAACATCCTACCTATTTCTACTAGAGACTTGTCAAAATAACAGTTATGTAGTACAGGTGACATCACCTTGGGTAGAAAAATATATTCTGTTCTGAGGATGTTCCCAAATATATAACATTTCAGTAATGTTTAAAATAACACTGAAGGGCAATTTCCCAACTCGGCATAAAATATGCTTCATTAGATCTAAATAAAAAAAACCCTTCCCATCCATGGATGTTTGGATCCAACATAAGAGAACCTGATGGGTGAAAAGGCTGTTTTCCACTGCAATCTCCTGTGATGTCCCAGAAAGTTTCCCAACCTTCTGCAGTGGATTTTTGAGAGAGTAGAAGGGGATTAAAGAGGAAAGAAAGGATTTTTGAGAGAGTAGAAGGGGATTAAAGAGGAAAGATATATATATATATATATATATATATATATATGGCAGTTGTCACTACCAAATATATAAAATGGTTTTAATTCTTTATATGGACCACAGCATTTGTAGCTATTCCTAGATCAAAAATTTGGGGTTTTCTCTCATCTGTTTGCACTGTGATGATGACATAAAATACTAGAAGATTAATCGGTGAAATAATACATTAGCTGTGGAAGGAACCAGCAAAACATGGCCAAATGTATTGTAGCACATTTCAACTCCATGTAGAAAAGACAATTCCTCTCTTCAGAAACATTATTTGCAGACAATACGAACAAAGATATCCAGGGAATGGAAACTAGTATCACTAAATCATTAAGTATTAGAAGATGCAGCTTTGTCAATATGTGATGTTTTCCACTGAAATAAACATTTCAGTAAATTTTCATATACAAGTGTCAGCATGCAAAATGGAGCGGGAGGTGGGAACAGCAACTTTAATTTCTTCATTCTAAGAGAAGATCAAATATTTCTGCTTTTGGGAAAAAAGATTTTGTATTTTTTTAATTAAAATGTTTAGTTTAAAGAGAAAAGTTTGGCATCTGTATGGAATTCAGATTTTATGAAGTAGATAAAATCTAACTTTGTCACATGGGTAAGGATCTTTTTGTATCTTGTCCATGTCAGTCTAACAAATATACAAAAATAATCTCTTCAGAGTTCTGTACCATTTTGCAAATCGTTTTTTTTTAAACTAAAAACATTTTTGTATACAACTTTCCCTAACATATTTTTTACACATCTTGTATGCCTCATTTCCTCAAATATATTAATTTTTGTATATGTCTTTTTCAGCCAAAAATACTTTAAGCCAGATGTTGGCAGGCTCTGAATTTTATGTCTGTTCACATTGTGGACTCTATGTTGATGGATTACATAACTTTGCTTGAAAATAAATCCATGACAGGTTTCTCTTACCCATATACATGCTGCAAGCGCTATTCATGTTTTTATGCACTTAAAGTTGTATATTTTGCAAAGAAGTGGAGGCTGAAGGAAGCAGATTTTAAGCAAAGCTGAAAGTAACATGTTTTAAATTACTGATTACTATTTTTAAAAATATAGTAAAATGAGCAACCATTTCTTATCAACTTTAATAAAAGTATACAAAAGTTTCTGGTGCTTTAAAAAACCAATGCAATATAAATAGCAATATCCAGGAAGCAAATCTAATTCAGGTTTTCTTTCAGGAATATATGAAAGTTTATTCAGTCCTCAAAACCTTCTGAAACTTTGTACAATTGTGAGATATTCCAGAGCGGATTTTGGACTACTCACAGAATTGCAGAGACAAGTAGAGGAATTCTGTTACACATGTGAAAGTACACTTGCACAATATTGGATGTTGTTTTTATATTTCTTTAGGATGGAATGCTCAACTTTTGAGAAGAAAAGTATTATAATAGAGACTCCAGTTTGAAAGAGAAAGGGAGCTGTGACAAATGACATAAATTTTCATTACATTTAAATTAAAGACAAGTACTCTGCATTTAATTATTTTCTACTTCTATCACTTTAAAATTCAGTTCAATAGCAATTTTTGAAGAAGCATGAATAACACATCTAAAAATTGTCACCACAACATGTTCCTTAACTCAACATTAAAGAAATACAGATCAAAAGAAAAAGACAACAGATCTTGTTATGTGCCAAAGCCTGTTGAAAAAACATCTTCTAAATGCCAGATATGATGGTGCCAGGACCTTTTCTTGGGGAAGTGTGTTCCATAGTGTGGGGGCTACCATTTTAAAAAGCCTCCATTCTGATTAAGATGCCCCTCTTAGCTCTTGCAGGGATGAGACTCTGAGCTGATTGCTTCTAGCTGTCCCAACAGGTTGGGCACACACAAATAGAAGGGGAAAAACAGAATTTCCAAATCAGAATGGCAGCAAAATTCTTAGAGATCTCCTTATTATTGATTATTGAGATTAGGCTCAAAAAAAAAAAAAACCAAACAAAAAAAACCCTATAGACACCCACAACAGGAAGAGTATGCCACAGACAGCAAGAAAAGCTGCATTGATCTAAAATAGCACAATTGTTTAAATGCATAGGCTTATGTTGTTACAGAGGCTGAGCTGAATCGTAATAAATACAAGAAAGCCTTGTACCTTTTGTGTTTTGGAACTGGCTAATACAGGTATTATCTAATACAATAAGATCACAGCTGGCATCCAAGAAGACTTCCTTCAATCATTTATAAATATCAGGAAATATTAACAGTTGCCCTATTGGGGAAATGGGTGGCATATCAGTTTAATTAATTAACATTCTGCATTGATCAGATCCTACCTCAAAAACTATTGAATTCTGGATACTATACTACAAAAACTTTTTTAAAAATAGAACAGGTTCATAGAAGAGCAAGGAAGATAATAATGATGATGATGATGTTGGAAGGGACCTTGGAGGTCTTCTAGTCCAACCCCGTGCTCAAGCAGGAAACCCTATACCATTTCAGACAAATGGCTGTTCAGTCTCTTCTTAAAACTTCCAGTATTGGAGCATTCATATTGGAGGTAGGTTGTTCCACTGATTAATTGTTCTAACTGTCAAGAAATTTCTCCTTAGTTCTAGGTTGCTTCTCTCTTTGGTTAGTTTCCATCCGTTGCTTCTTGTCTTGCCTTCAGGTGCTTTGGAGAATAGCTTGACTCCCTCTTCCTTGTGGCAACTCCTGAGACATTGGAACACTGCTATCATGTCACCCCTTGTCCTTCTCTTCATTAAACTAGACATACCCAATTCCAGAAACCGTTCCTTATATGTTTTAGCCTCCAGTCCCCTAATCATCTTTGTAGCTCTTCTCTGTACTCTTTCTAGAGTATCAACATCTTTTTTACATCATGGTGACCAAAACTGGATGCAGTATTCCAAGTGTGGCTTTACCAAGGCATTGTAAAGTGGTATTAACACTTCACGTGATCTTGATTCTATCCTTCTGTTAATGCAGCCTAGCACTGTGTTGGCTTTTTTGGCAGCTGCAGCACACTGCCTAGATGTACCTAACTAGATATTTAACTAGATGTTCCTAGCTAAAATCTATAAAAGAGATTGCGTGAGGTACGTATGTTTAGCCATGAAAAAAAGATGACAGAGGACATGATAGCATGTTGAAGTGCAAAGTCAAGAATATTTATAATTCCACCACAATTGACACTAATGGATTTAACTTACATAAAGGTAGATTCTGATTGAATGTTATTTAAAATAGTATACAACTACTAAGGGCAATTTGACAGTGAACTAATTACCAGGATAAGTGGAGAACTCCCTTTGGTTGGATATGTTCAAATAATATAAAGCCATCATTGTGGATGCTTTCTTTGGATATATGTCCTAAACAGTGCATTGGATTGAGTGGCTTACATGAACTCTTACAGTTCTATATTATTATTCTATGAAACTATATAACATGTAATAAGGGTCTAAATTGCATTATCTTTCCACTTCAGAATTAAAATTGTCTCCCTAATGTTTGCTTCTGGTTGGCCTATAAACAAATGTAAAAGGCATTGCAGCGGTTTGCATATGCAACTTGTTGGCCATCTTTTCTAAGTCAACAGCTTTTTAAATACATATAAATGCAGTGGTCTTTCTTTGAGTCTATATTGGTTATTTCTAACCCATTTCTATCCAAAAATGGTCATTTTCTACAAACTGTGATGTAATGTTATGCTTAACAAAAAACTTACAGGAAAACATAATTTTCCAGTTGGAATTGCTTAGTTACTGTCTCAAGACCTTTATAAAAAAAGAGATGGGATAGAAATTTTATTAGAGATCACAAAATATTTGAACAAAAGGAAATATCCTTATTGTATCTACAATTTGAGAATACGCACAAGGTCAGACTGCAATCATGAGATTATACAGAGAAATAATAACAAATAATCATAAAAGTTTAAGTAGCACGACATTCAAATGCTTGCTGCAGGATCCTGCATATTTCTACATAAGAGCAGAAGGCTCTTGAAATACTATAGGTATTTCTTCTGGAAATCCCAATAAATTAATTCTGAGACCGTGTGAAGATTTTCAATCCAACTTGCTCTTCAGTCCAGCAACTTCTCTGTTTTCTCACATTCTGCTCTAGTTCTTTAAAAAAGTAATACAAATTTTCCTTTCTGGGCAGGTTAGTGGGATTTCTCAATGCCAAAACACAGATAGTCCTCAACTTAACAATCATTCTCTTGGTGAGCAAAATTTAGATGTTTCATAACTGACTCATATTTATGATGGCTGCAGTGTCCTGGGGTCATGTAACCACTTTTTGCGACCTCCTGACAAGCAAGGTCAACGGGGAAGCCAGATTTACTTAACAATCATGTTATTAATTTAATAACTGCACTGATTCATTAAACAAGTGTGACAAGGTCATAAAATGGAGCAAAACTCACTTAACAAATGTCTCACTTAGAAACAATTGGGCTCAATTGTGGGTTTAAGTCAAAAACTACCTGTAACATGCTTACTAGTGCTGGAGTATATTCAGACTCTGATCCTGTTTACCTGTCTAGTCATAACTTGTTTTTTAAACTCAAAACAACTATGCTTAAAAACCACCATTAAACAAACAAAGATTTGTAAAGGCATTTGTAAAGGCATTTATTTGTAAAGGCATTTATTATCTGCTTGCAAATAATTCTGGGTTCCGGAATTTCTCACTCCAACAAAGGCAGCACCAGTGTTTCTGCTGTTCTCTACCATAATATATATTTATTTTTCAACCGCCAACTTTAAAGACAAAAGTTTCCCAAGTAGCTTATACCTCCTTAACATCACAATATAAATATTTTTTGGGAAAGTAGAAAGAAAATCATTTGTTTGTAGTCTATATAAATATAAGCATGCATTTATACGGAATATAAGCAAGAGATAGCCACAAGAAGCCAGGTAAAATGCAACAATACATTTAAAGTTTAATAGATAAAATATACATATAAAGACATTTAGAGAATAAGAAAGGGTTTCCTGGTACTGTGGTCTGCATTTCTCACTGGGAAAGACATTCAGCCTCCAATAAGCAGTCTCTCCATTATCTTTGTAAATGAATGATACATTTCCTATCCTAACATTTACACTTTTTTTACATTTATACAGTAACTTGCAAATCCTCTAAATACCATTGTAAGCTTTATTTCAGAAATGTTCTTTGGCGTAATTGCTACATCTTGCAGGACCACAGGCAAAAAAACCCAGCTCAGTTATGGATACTTGTAAGCCTGGCATATCTAAATTGTAGAACTATTAATAACATTACTTCAAAGGCTGTTGAGATAGTTGAATTCTTTATAATTGGTTTGTACCAGCTAATTCTTAGACTGGCTTCAAATACTCAGAACTGAAGAGTCTGTAAATATTTGAGCACATTTTATTACTAATGCAATTACTACAATATGTAAGGGAATGTGGTTTTTGAGATACAAAATTTGTTCTACAAACTTCCTTAAGAGTTTTACATACAAACCTTCCTTTCTTTCTAACGTTTTCCTGCAAGTGCAGGTTCAGATTCCCCCCCCCCCCCATTAACCGGGTGTTGATCCATTGGTTACGATAGGAACTGACCGACAGGCTTGTTGCTGGAACCTGACATCACGTGGCCTGGATAAGTGGTCCAAAAGTCCAAACATTTCCGATTGAAAGCCCTGCCGTTGATAATTTCTATTTCATTCACAAGTAAAAAAAAAAAAAAGGAATCTGCTTCATTTGGACGCCCCATCTCTTGTGTGGGTGACACTGTTATAGGAACACTTTTGGGGAAGCGTCAAAAGAATGGCCGGAAGATGGACTGCCATTCTCTTACTCGTTGGAAGGTGGCGCTGTTAACAATTCAATTTAGCACTTTGCAGGCTAGGAAGAAAGACTTTCAAATACGAAAGCGATATTTCATTTTATTCTTATTGAAGAGGTTGAGGTCAAAAGCTAAGCAGGATCTTGAGAGGGATAGGCACGCGGCTTAGCCCGTGAAATCAAACTTCCAAAAAGAAAGCGAACACCAGTTCTATGCTTGTGCCAAGCCAGTTGAGCGGAGAGGCCTCAAGAATCCGAGTTGGCTTCGATTCTTACTATGGAATAAAGCCAATTAAATAAGGTCGGTCAGCTTGCAGTCAACACGCCGCGCCAACTCGGCCACTGTGATGTAGAAACCGCGGTTTACGGCTTGCTGTCCTGGCTGAACGCTCGGCGAAACCCGGAACAGTAGAGGGCGCCGCCGGCTTCCGAGCCCTGCCCGGGGTCGCTGGCGGTCGACTGGAAAAGGAGAAGGGAGCCTAATCAGCCGGCAGCAGCGAGGGCTGGGCCGCGCTTCATGGGACCGCGCCGACCCAGCCCGTGAGGTGCCGCCCTCTGCCTGCTTGGCCAGAGAGAAGGAATCGCCGCGGGCTTAATGGCGGGCTTGGCTCTCCGCCTTCCCTTGGTGGTGCGGCTGTGGCGAAGGCAGAGCCTGCGGAGCTGCTCCTGGCCTCGGCTTCTCTTTCACCCAGCGGCCCCCGGCGGCGCAGCATGGACCGCGGAGAAGCGCGGGGTCGCTGCTTTGCACCCCGGCACTCTTCGCCACGTGCCGCTCCTTGCCCGCTCCGCCTCCTCCTGGGCAGCCGCGGCCGACTCCTCGCGGAAGGAGCCGGGCGACCCTCAAGGAACCGAGCGGCCCCCGGCGGCAGGGCCCGACGAGCGCGAAGTCTCGGACGCTAAGAGGCTTTTGGCGCTGGCGTATCCGGAGCGCTGGAAACTGTCAGGTATCTCCTCCCCGGGTCTCGCCTCCTCGGCTGCAGCTCTCGGGTTGCAAAGCGCGCTGCCCTCTCGCGCGGGCCGGTTGGTGGATTGCTTTTACTCCTGCCATGTACCTGTCCCCTCTCCGAGAACTCGTAACCGGTTCCCGCAGGTAGCAAGGAAACGCTGCTAGCTGCTGTTCCTGTTCCCTTCCGGTCATCTCCCTCCCCTTCACTCCACTCCAGCGTGGGCTCAAACAAATACCCACCGTGGGAGATGCCCTCGCGCTGCTCGTCTCCTTTGCTCGCTGTCGCCTTTTTCTCCGCAAGGCTGGTTCATTTCAGCTCCACGTTATTTGATCCTAATGGGGTTCTACTCAATCAATCAATCAATCAGAAAAGAGCTGGAAGGGACCTTGGAGGTCCTACCCCCTGCTCAAGCAGGAGACCCCATTCCATTTCAGACAAGTAACTGTTCGATCTATTCTTAAAAACCTCCAGTAACAAGCACCCTCAGTGTCTGACGGCAGGCTGTTCCACTGGTTAATATTTTTCGCTGTTAAAAAGTTTCTCCTTAATTCCAGGTTGCTTCTCTCCATTGTTTCTTGTCTTGCCTTCTGGTGCTTTAGAAAATAAATTGACCCCCTCCTTCTTGTGGCAACCTCTCAAATACTGGAATACTGCTGTCATGTCCTCCCAGTCCTTCTTTTCTCTAGACAGGCCATTCCCAAAGCCTGCAATCGTTTTTCATATATTTTAGACTCCAGGCCTTTAATCATCTTAGTTGCTCTTCTTTGCACTTTTTCCAAAGTCTCAACATTTTTTTTTGTAATGTGACCAATACTGTAATGTGCAATATTCCAGGTGTTGCCTTACTAAGGCTTTATAAAGTGGTATTAATAGTTCACATGATTTTGATTCTATGCTTCTGTTTATTCAACCAAGGATTGTGTTAGCTTTTTTGGCTACTCAACATCTACATGGATTTCAAGCCCTTTTCTGTGACCTCCTCGCATAATCCTGGCCTATTGGACTAGAAAACCCCCAAGTCCCTTCTATCTGTATTCTGTTATTCCTGCTCCCACCGTATCTGGATCAGATTTGCAATTCCCTTTCATTTGCACACTGCAGCACTGTATATATAGTATTCAGTACTCCAATTTACAGGTAGGCTTCTACTTACAACCATTCGTTTACTGACCGTTTGAAGTTACAACAGCACTGAAAAAGGACACATGACCATTTTTCAGATTTACGACCATTGCAGCATCCCCATGGTCAGGTGATCAAAATTCAAACACTTAGCAACTGGCATGTATTTATGGCAGCTACAGTGCCCCAGAGTCATGTGATCACCTTTTGCGACCTTCTGATAAGCAAAGTCAATGGGGAAGCCAGATTCACTTAACAACTGTGTTTCTAACTTAACTACAGTGATTCACTTAACAGCTGTGGCAAGAAAAGTTGTACAAATTCACTTAACAACTGTCTTGCTTAGCAACAAAAAAATTGGGCTCAATTGTGGTCGTGAGTTGAGGACTACCTGTAGTAGCTTCTGAAAGTCTTGAGTTACAACTGTCAGCATTTCTCACCAGCATGGATAAGCCTTTCATCCAGACTTCTCAGCATCGCTTACTTTCTAGAGAAAGCTCTGCTGCTTATTTTTCTTCTATACCTCTGAATAATAGGAAGATTTTGGGAGGCCATTTAAGGAGTGCTAGGACAATCAAATATAGGCTGAAAAAATCTGGACAGTCTCTAGGTGACAGCAAATGCTGTGAATAAAGGAAACTTTGTTGGCTGCTAACTCTTGGCAATCCTAGATATGAGGGGCTTGATCTAAACTAAGGATCCCCAAACTCTTCAGCTTATCAGCACATGAAATTTCAGATTGTTTATTGACCCCCAAACATTTATATGAAAATGATTTAATAAATACTATCTGAATAGTACTATTAATAACAATAAGTAATATCCATATGAATTGCTAACTCTCCTCCTCATTCAGGCTATATTCACATGGTACACCAGAAAAATAGGTTTTGATTCTAATTTGTGCAAATCCAGAGAGTTGGGAGTTTTGAAGTAAACTAAAGCTCAAACCATTTTCCCACTGTGATCTATGTTGGCACAAATTAGTACCCACAAGCCATTGGATGTCCAAATTGCCAGTCTTGCCTTGTATTTCTTGGGACTTCTGACAAAATCTCTTGCTGATTGGATAGAATGCCTGTGCATCAATCATTACAATAATACTATTTGGTTTTCTTAGGTGTATTACTAAAGATACTTTGTGCTAGATACTATGCCATATTGCAAAATCAAATTACATAATATCCACAGCTCCACCCACTGCAAAAAAAAAAATTCTTTTGAGGTTGTGATGAAATTGTTCTATTAAATTGCTGCATTAAGAATGCGATGAAACTTGAATCCATATATAGTCCAAGAGCTGCATAAAAAAGAACGAATAGGGATTTAGTTCATGGAGTATTTCGTTTTTGCAGCAGTACTGGGGCAGGGTACATTGAAAATAATCAAAGTTTAATGTGAATAATTTAAATGTATTTAAATGTAAATAGAAAGTAAGTAGTATTCATAATGTATGGGATTGTAAAATGATCCCTTATATATTTACAGGTAAAATACTGGAAGTTTTACAAAAGTGGGGTTTGGTTTGAAGCCCTTTCAAATTGTTATGCTAGGTTGTTTAAAATAGTGACCTGGGTTACAAATAATGGCTTATTTGATTTTTATTTAGCATAGTGTCAGCTGAATCATTAAGCTTTATAAATTGTGGTTTCCGACTTTGATCAATATAAATCCATGTGGCTTATTGTGTAAACTAGGTTAATGGGAACTAGATCATTAAATTAGAGTTTTGTTCTATGTATCTGATGCATTGAATTTTGATAATATGCCATATTTGTTAATTTTTAAGATGCAGTCCTTCGCACAACCACACTTAACTGGGATTATGCTAAATTGACAGGCAGGAGAGTATGAAATATCTTGCATTTAATACAAAAAAACAGTAAGGCTACCATTCACAATTTTCAATTTAATCCACCAGAATAATGTTAACATTCAAAATATTTCTTTGAATTGTTTCTATAAAGAGCTTAAGCGTTTCATAAAATGCTAATATAAAACTACATTAATAACTAAAAAGACGGTATGTTTGTTCCCTTTAACCATACACAGCTGCTATTGGATTTTTGGCTGTTTCCAGTGTCATCACTATGTCTGCCCCTTTTTTCTTGGGGAAAGTTATTGATGTCGTTTACACAAATCCAACCGGTGAACTTGCAGAGAACCTATCTACACTCTGTGCCTTATTAACTGGAATATTTATGCTTGGTGCCGCTGCCAATGGAATACGTGTCTACCTCATGCAGATTTCAGGTAATTGGGTGTAAAAATAAATAGTTTAGTGAGTTATATAAGCCAGTGATAAATAAGATATTCAAAATACAGAGCCAGATACAGAGCAAATTTCCTGCCAATGAATGGACAGGCTGCTCCTTTTATCAGAACAAGGGGGAGCCATTTGTAACCTGCCATCCACACATGACCTGAATTTTTTTCCAACCTTAGAAATTGTGCTATTGAAACCAAAATAAATTACAGCATAATTTCTATGGAACAACCAGAAAAAAACAAGAGCAAACTGAAAGGGCTTGAAATGTCCTTTTCTGCCACAAAATCATGTCCCATAAATTGTTACCAAGATGCACAAAACAATTTTTGTTTTGTTTTTTAATCAAAATTTCTTTTTGATCCAGTATTTCATATATGCATACAGCTCTCTCTCACTCTTCCTGCCTTTCTGTACAACACATTTGAACTGTGGCATCCTTGGTGCTCTCTGAGCTTGGTTGTTTTCTTGCAGACATTTCGTTACCAAACTAGCACTGATGATGTTACCTAGTTTGGTAATGAAATATCTACAAGAAAACCACCAAGTCAGAGAGCACCAAGGACCCTCATTTCTTTCTTGATGCTGATAAATATAACACATTTCTTTTTTGATGCTAATAAATAGGATCTAGTAACAGTATACAGGTAGTCCTTGACTTATAACAGTTCATTTAGTGACTATTCAAAGTTACAACAGCACTGAAAAAAGTGATCGTTTTTCAGTGACAACCTTTGCAGCAGCCCCATGATCATGTGATCAAAATTCAGATGCTTGGCAACCAGTTCATACTTAACGACCGTTGAAGCATCCCAGTGATGTGATCACTTTTTGCAAGTTTCTGACAAGCAAAGTCAATGGGGAAGCCAGATTCACTTAACAACCTGGTTACCAACTGCAGTGATTCACTTAACAACTGTGACAAAAAATGTTGTAAAATGGAGCAAAACTCACAAATTCTCACTTAACTTAAATTTTGGGCTCAGTTGTCATAAGTCAGGACTACCTATAATAGCTAGTTTTATTGATTGTGAGCTTATAACTGAGCGTAATAAGGACATAAAATTATAGTTGGAACATAATACATTACAATACAATACATCATAATATAAAATAAGGAGCTTTCGTACTAATAGTATGTGGTATATAATAACCATTTCAATATAGGTAATAGGTTAGAATTCGATTAATTTTAAATCTGTTTCACAGGAGCCCATGAAAAAGAAGCATTTTTATTGCTTTTTAAACTTTAACAGATCTGATTCCAAACATAAGTCTAGTGATAATCTGCTCCATAGAACTGAAACTGATGAAGAAAATCTCTTCACCAAGAGATGGCTGTTCTAATAGTAGTAGAGTCAAATTTCCCTAGCTGGAGAATTGGTTAAACACAAATGGACGTGATCTATCAGCAGATATTTGAAATAATTGGCTCTGCCCATATGCAGGCTCATTGAATTGTGATTCCTAGGTTCCTCACGGCTGGAGAGACCTGCTGCTAGTACTGTAGTCCTGAAATTCAGAATAAGCAACAGGAAGGGTGGAGGAATATGATGATGAGGGAAGAATGCAATAATCTTATCCACCTTTGGTTTCAGACAGTTGGAGCACATCCAATGTGAAATCCTGCTTAGGCAGTTGGAAAAAGATGCTCCCATAGTATCACCCACAGTTGGGACAGCTGAATAGATCTGAAGGACATCAGAGTATAAGCTTGGATTGTTGCAAATAACTTTGGTGAATGCTCAGGCTAAGATTTTTTTAAAACATATTAAAATCCTGTCTATTAATTGCCATACTTCTTGACTGTTTTAGGGCAAAGAATTGTGAACCGTCTAAGAGCGACAATATTTTCTTCTCTTTTGAAACAAGAAGTAGCTTTTTTTGACAAAACCAGCACTGGAGAGCTGATTAATCGCTTGTCTTCAGACACAGCTCTCTTGGGCCGTTCAGTCACTGAAAACCTTTCGGATGGGTTAAGAGCTGCAGGACAGGCCTCAGCTGCTATCGGGATGATGGTATGTGTTCGCATTGTTCTCCTTCCATTTCTGCAGATCCTTTGGTATAACACTGTTTCCCCACCGCCATCATCCATCCTCATACCTTTACTGCAGGGGCCTTCAAACTTAGCCCTTTTATGACTTGTGGACTTCAACTCCCAGAATTCCTCAGCCAGCGTGCCTGAGGAGCTATTTTAACAATGCTTTGTTGAAAAATATCTAATCTACTGGTGTGGTGGTTAAGAAGTTGGATTTGGATCAGGGAAGACCCTGTTTTGAGCTTACTAGATGACTGTAGGCCAGTTTTTCTTTTTCAGTTGCATCTACCTTGCATGATATTCCTAGGGAATTAGGAAATGCATCTCTCATTCATACTATGAATTCACAGAAAAAAAGAGACATAAATACCATAACTAAATATCACTAAGCCATAAACCATGATTTACCAGCTGTAATGACATTCTTCAACCAAAGACAACCTGGTTTAAGTGCATACCTTGAACTAGGTTTTTATATAATACAAATATTAGAACTATATCTAATTACATGTTGGGAAACAGAAAGTAACTCAAAGGACAGAAGTTACTGCATTCAATTTATACTACAGATTAATAGTTTCCATAATAAAAGAAAAAACATACCGTTGCAGCTTCCCATCAGTAGCACTATAATAAACAAAAATATTACATTACATATAACTCCAAATGTTCTTTTTTTTTTTCTTATGGTTTTCCCACAAGTGATTTTTTTTTTAAGATCAACCAATTAGTTGCAAGAAGAATTGACTGACTAGCTTGTCACCCAAGTTTAATGTTGTGAGCTGAGAGAGAGAGGGGGACTGGCCCAAAGTCATCCAGCCAGTTTTCATGCCTAAGGCAGGACTAGAACTCACAGTTCTTGGTTTTTAGCCTGGTACTTGACCACTCTGCTTTCCCTAAAGATGCTTTATATATTTAGCAATAAAAAACTCTAAAGGGCTTTGCTTTGTATGAATGATGGTGGAGAGAAAAGCTAAAAAAAAAAATCATTGTATCATGTTAGTCTATCTTTTATTTTGAGTTGCATCTTGTAGATTGGATGATAAAAGTGAGTGGAACTAATGTTGATATCTGTATCCTACACAATAGCTGTTATTGCTCATAATAGTTATGGCATAACTTCAAATAAATAATTCAGCAATTATCAAACACAACTATTGAATTCAGTGACTAAGAAATGAGAACTTTAAAACAAAATGCAAAAAAACAAATTGAAAGAAAATAGCCCAACTTTGACCCGACTCAATTTTACGACCATTTTTATGACAGTTGTAAAGCAATTTCACTGTGGTTGTTAAGCAAATCATGTCATTAAGTGAACTACATGGTCATTAAGCAAATCCATTCTCCTGAATGGGTATTTTTTGCTGCATACTTGGCAAAAAAAAAAACCCTTCCAGAAACTGACAAAAACGCTGCAAATTGTGGTTTGAAGGGTATGTGTGCAGCAGTCGTAGCTTCGAGGGCAGTTCGTAAGTAACTGTTTTTAAATCTGTCATAACTTCCAACAGTCTTTAAGTCAGAGGTCCCCAACCTTTTGAGCACCAGGGGCCGGTTCCGTGGAGAGAGGTTTTTCCGTGGACCGGAGGGGGCATGGTTTCATTTACTGTCTGCATCCCACGGATGGGGTTTGCTTGTTTACTCGGACCGGTTTCTGGCATGGTGCCAGTCCACGGACCGGGGGTTGGGGATCCATGCTTTAAGTCACTGGTAGTTAAGGGAGGACTACCTGTAAGGATGACCCTTGCTTGCCAACCAATCATTGAGCGACCATTTGAACTTAATGCTAAATCAGTGGTTCTCAACCTTTCTAATGCCGCGACCCCATAATACAGTTCCTCATGTTGTGGTGACCCCCAACCACTTATACATCACCGGGTGCCAGGGGCGTGGCCAAAGAAAAAGGGGAAAAAATGGCAGACAGCCTTGTTTGGCGACCCCCATGAAATGGTCGTTCGACCCCAAATGGGGTCCCGACCCACAGGTTGAGAACCACTGTGCTAAATGGTATCTACAATTGATCCTCAGTCATGGCAGCTCCCCCTTAGTCACGTGATTACAATCTGGGCATTTGCCACCGGGCTCACAATTACAACATTTCATTGTCATAGGGTCACTACTTGCAACCTTCTTTGCTGGATTCCTATAGGCAAAGTCCATGGGGAAGCTGGCAGGAGGTCTCAAAAGGTGACATCCTCGCTTAACAACGGTGCGGGTTTGCTTAGCGACAGCATCTAGAAGCAACCAAAATTCTGGTCCCAATTGCCATTGTTAACAGAGGACTACCTGTATTTGAAATATTTGATTTATAAATCTAGCAAAGCCTCTGTAAACTGCATTTAAAAATTAATCACTGCTTTTTTTTTTTACTTCTAGTTTTTTGTGTCTCCCAAACTTGCTACATTCGTCCTGACTGTAGTACCATCTCTGGCTGTCATAGCTGTGATTTATGGAACATATTTACGAAAACTGGCTAGAATGACACAGGATTCTCTTGCAGCAGCCACACAGGTAGGTTCTCGGTTGCTCCAATGAGAATGCTGAAATACAGTGCTGAACTGCTCTGAGCTTTTCTCTTTTCATATACATCCCCCAACAAGTTCCCACTAGGTTCTGATTGAAGTCATTCCTGCATAACCATCCTTGTAATTCTCCAATTTGAAGTACTCTTTTTCATACAATCACATCTCCAAAGTATCTTATAGCTCAAGATGCTTGAAGAATGTGTTCTTTGGGAATTCCAAGGTGAATTGACCGTATCTGTTTAACATGATAATACAAATTAAGCTGCCCTTTTAAAAGGATTTTGCCTTTCTTTTTGTTTATAATGTGCTGCCAAACATATTTAGAAATGCACATTCTTAGATAAAAGATGCTTTGAAAGTATGTTTTAATTGTGGCTGGTTTAAAAAGAAATAGCTCATTACGGAAACAGTTTTAATACAGGTTTGTGAATGGACATAAAAAATTGACATTCTTCCCTAGCCTTGTAGGGTATTATAGGGTGATAAATGCATCCACTATTAGTCTAATAAAATGTGCAAGGAGGGCAATCCAGGAAGGTTTATGGGAAATCCCTTAATTTTTACATTTTGTTTACTGCAGTTAGCAGAAGAACGGATTGGAAATTTAAGAACAGTTCGAGCTTTTGGGCATGAGTTAACTGAAATGGAAAAATATGAGAACAAGATTCAGTATGTGCTACAATTGGCCAAAAAGGAAGCAATAGCTCGAGCAGGATTCTTTGGAGCAGTAAGTATATGAAGAAGGTGAGGAATCATCTGTGTTTTTCTGATGAATGTTTCCTTGGACAATTAAATTGTCACTTTGATATATCTGTAGTTGCATATTATTTTATCACAACCATCAATAAACTTAATGTACTAAGTAGGTTTACAGAAATATTTATAAGTAACCACTCATAAATATATTTTATGAAGCTACTCCATTTTTAGGTAACAGCATTATTTATTTTATTGTTTTATTTATCACATTTTTGAAGCATCCATCTCCCTCAGTTATGCAGAGAGCAGGCAAAAGACAAGAAGTGCTAAGCCAAGTGAATCAAATGTTAAGAAAAAAATTACGCAGAAAAGTAAATAGAACTGAAATGAATTTACAATTTACTGTTTTTCACTGTACCTCTCCATAACTTTCTACCTTTGCAAAACATCTGCCTTTTACCACATCTGTATACTGTTTCAGATGTTGCCTTTTGTCCTCTAAAGTTCTAACCTCTCTCTTTTTAACCATAACTTTTTTAGTCTTCCCCTTCCTCCTAACCTACTTATTATTCCTCATGTTATTTTTTTTTAATCAACCAGCATTGTCTGTGCACAAAAATATACGTATGTTCATGCTCTTGAGAAGCATACTTTTTCCATCACCACAGGCCTTCCTTATGTTTTGAGCTATCGATGCATTGAACAAGCAAAGAGACATCACAGCTGGATTCATGCCTAAAGTAGGACTAGAACTCACAGCCTCCCAGAGTCTTGTCTGGAGCCTTAACCATCACTTTTATCGCATTCCAACCTTCATCTCCATATTTACCTAGCATTTCAGAACCTAAGCCTATAGAGCAGTGGTTCTCAACCTTTTTAATGCCGCGACCCCCAACTGGTCGTAAGTTGAGGACTACTCAACCGGTCGTAAGTCGAGGGCTACTCAACTGGTGCAGCACCGTTTGCAGAGTGGGACTTTTGGCGGGCTCAGCATGGCAGAGACAGCCTGGACAATTCCTATCGGCTTTTGAAAGCCAATAGAATTAGACTCTATTCAAGAGAGTCTATTCTATTGGCTTTCAAAAGCCAATAGAATAAAAGGGAGTAGCACAGCTAAGGAAAAGGGGAAAAAATGGTGGACTGCATTGTTTGGCGACCCCGGTGAAATGATCGTTTGACCCCAAATGGTGTCCCGACCCACAGGTTGAGAACCACTGCTGTAGAGTTTCTCATATATTTTCTCTAAATCAACAGATGCAAAACAAATATTTTTTTTTAACATGGCCTGGAAAGCAGAAAACAGTCTCATCTGTATACCCCTTGCCTTGCATGAAGCCTCACACTACTCCCCCAAATTGTCATTGTCATCTGTTGACACCTTTGAGTCAGAATCTTGCCACTTTCCCACCAAATTAATTGCCTTGTGGGTTTTTCCCTTTGTATAAAGGAACATTTTTTTCCAAACATTGGGTACTGATTTAATCTTCACAGAGAAATTAAAATGTTGCACAGCCATTCTATGAGCAAACCACATATTTTAACATTTATTCCATTACATCGTATATTCCTGCAATTTTAACCATTTTCAACTTTCTCATAGCATTTTTCATCATTTTTTTTCTTCGACAATAATATTGGAAGTTTCAATTCCATCCCTCATACCATTGTCATTCTCATAAGAGATCTCTCAAATACTAGCATTTCCTCGTTTCAGTAACATCCCAGATCATTTTATCTATCACTCTGGTAGAGATTCTTTGTTTAGCCCTCTTCATCCACTTCTGAAATATCCATTAAAATTGCTGTGCGATTTATTTGTCTTATTTAATGTTAATCACTCCTTGCTCTCTTTGCAACTATCTTTTTTTCTCTCTGTACGCATTACAAAATGTGTTTCTCTCATCATTCTTTGCAGGAATTTTCCTATTTGCATTTTTCCTCATCCAGTTTCTTTTACTATCATTGTGCTAAGCATCCTTTTTCATATGCCACATTAATATACTCCATATATTTCTACTATACTTTTAAATTATTTCCAGATTGTTTTAAACAGCTTCTACACCTTGAGTTCTTATATGCACATTCCATTTATTCTCCTATTTTATTCAAATTCTTTTTCATATAGTATTTCCATTTGTTCTTCCTGTAATCAGTCTACCTGAACTACTGTGCTGGGGTTTTTTTTCTACCTCGTTCCTTCCATGTCCCTTATTTTGCCCCAAGATCTATTTTTGAGATTACCAAAAAAGGGTCTTTCTCACATGCAATGTTCTTATCGCCCTTGAACTCTTCATTAAGTTTTAAAGGCAGTGAAATTTACCATCCAGGTGAGCCCAGAAGCACAGACACACACAAGCAGTTCTTCCTGTTTTATTGTGAAAAGACAAACAAGATGCTGCATGTGTTTAGCTATGAATCTGAGGGTGGTGGTGGTGGGATGAAGCACTTCATTACTAGCTAGCTAGTGATCATTAATTGGCTGATATTTTCTGGGCTCAGCTATTGGCCAGAAAGTTAAAAATACTGGTTGGCTGGTGCTTCTAGAATTCTGTAAGCTTACAACCATGTAAAATACACGTATGATGGTAGCCTTTAAAATCTGAGTAGAACTAAAAAATAATCAAAGCATTCCTAGGTGCATTTGAAACTGGATTCTGGATCAGATGTTGAAAATGCTAGTCATATAAAAGTGCCCCCAAATCTCTAAAATAATCTGTATTAAAGGATTGGTGTTTACTCCAATTATGGAATTCTAAGAGTACTATTATGATAGATTTCTTGATCTTCTTTTAGGCAAAGATCAAGGATTGCCTGTTCTTTCCCTCTCTCGCAATAATCATCCATAAATCTAAAGAATTACATTACATTCTGAAATCAGCACTTTTCCCTTTTCTTTCTTTACAGACGGGGTTATCAGGCAATTTGATTGTGCTTTTTGTTCTCTACAAAGGAGGATTACTGATGGGTGGTGCCCATTTGACTGTTGGTGAACTGTCTTCTTTCTTAATGTACGCTTTCTGGGTTGGCATAAGCATTAGAGGTAATACATTCTTAAAAATAATTTTTTTAAAAAATTAGATAAACAAGATGTCGGATCAGAAGGCCTAAACATCAGCCTTCTCCAATTTCTCTTTCTGTAGATACATCAAGTACATTTCCCAAAATTGCTAGCTTGTCTGCCCTATGTTAACCTCTCCTTACAGAACAGCTCTTGATGCACCAAACTAACTAAACAGTTCTTCAGATGCTAAAGGGCTCAGGGATCAGCAAGAGCATTCATCCAACCCAATGTTTCTCAACCTTGGCAATTTTAAGGTGTGTGGACTTCAACTCCCACAATTCCCTAGCTAGATGCTGGGGAATCTTAAAGTTATCACAGTTGAGAATGGTTAACAAATTCCAGCTCTGATGAATGTGAGAGATAACCTACTCAGAGACGTTCTGCCAGCCATTTTATGGATCTTCTTTATTAAAAGGAAAAGGAAGCAGATAAATAGTTCCAGGCTATGTGCTTACTTTCTCTGCTTCTAGGGGTGAAAACGAAGGGGGGAAAGCAGAACCCATGCCCAATTTCTGTTGCTGCCTTAGACAACCTAATCTTAGGTTATGCTTCATTTAGCTGTACTGGCTGGCTGTTTGAACATTGATTGGCACAGCTTATTTAACAAACATGCAATACCTGTTTTTGAACATGTATAACAATAGGGATACTTTTTTTTTTCTTTCCTAGGATTAAGCTCTTTTTATACTGACTTAATGAAAGGTTTGGGAGCAGGAGGGCGTCTGTGGGAACTTATTGATCGAAAGCCACAACTACCTTTTAATGGTAATGTTCTTATATTTTGCAGTTGTTTAAGTTGGTAAAATATCCATACATCATGCAATATACTGTAAAACAAAAACTAACTTTCTCATAAATTAGTAGTAATTTTAATAAAGAATGTAAGCAAATTACACATAAATGTAATGATTCCAAAGAATATTCATTTGATACAACAGAATACGTAAATTGGTTATGGTGCAGGCTTTGTGAGTACCAACCTTTTAAACAGTTAACATTTATGTAACCTCCACAAATTAGTTTTCACATCTTGTGACAGTTTAAAGTCCAAACTAAATTTCCCAAGATGAAAATAACTATAATGTCATTATGTTACTGGCTATAGCCTCAGCAGCTCTCTAAGGCTATTTTATTGTTATTGGAGGGTGGAGTGGGAACATACACGCATGCACGCACACACACGTGCGCGCATACACACACACATACAAACACCACCCTCCAATAACTAGTCTGGCTTCAATAAAGCAGAATACAGAATGCAATAAAGCACAATAAAAGAACCACACTTATGACAATTTGAATAGAAATTGAAGTGAAGTTAGCACTCTGATCAGTAACATCATACATACCATAAAGAGATGATTTAAGACTTGATAATCCCTTGTCAGGAATAGGAGTGATTTCTATTCTAGCTGTGACATATAGGCTGTGCCATTCTACCTTTTTTCATAAATCATGAACCTTTTGTTTCCTATTCTCCATCATGATCACTTTGTTGCTGTTATTGAAAACCTGATCTAGTTACAGGTAGTCCTCGACTTTCAACAGTTTATTTAGTGACTGTTCGAAGTTACAACAGCACTGAAAAAGTAATTTATGACTCTTTTTCACACTTAACATTGTTGCAGCATCCCCATTGTCATGTGATCAAAATTCAAACGCTTGGCAACTGACTCATATTTATGACAGGTACAATGTCCTGGAATCATGTGACCACTTTTTGTGACCTTCTGACAGGCAAAGTCAACGGGGAAGCCAAATTCACTTAAAACGATGTCACTAACTTAACAACTGCAGTGATTCACTTAAAAACTGTGGCAAAAAAGATCATAAAATGGGGCAAAACTCACTTAAATGTCTCGCTTAGCAACAGAAATTTTGGGCCCAATTGCCATAAATCAAGGACTACCTGTACATTATCAATTCTGGGGTGAAGTAAGATTAAATGCCTTTGGATCCAATTTGACCATAACTGGCAGATCTTAGAAATGTTATGCTATGGGGCACCAGGAAAGGAGCTGTTTCATTTTCTGAATGTACCAATAGTTGGGATTCATGTTTTGTTCTATAAGCAGACAAGCCCAAATTGCTGGAGACTCATCTTTAAGAATGCCCAGATTCATGTACCTCTAGTTTACAGAATCTTAGTCAAGTGTCATATTGACCATATTTGTTTTCTTTTAGTAATTTTTTAGTGTAAATAGTTGGATTTGTGTTTACTAAAATGTGTTTGAATATGTTATTGATGTTACTTTCATTTTTGGATTGTTTGTCTATTTAGAGGGAACAGTATTAAGCCAGGATGCTTTCAGAGGTGCTCTTGAGTTTAAAAATGTCAAGTTTGCATATCCAACACGTCCAGAAACATTGATTTTTCAAGACTTTTCTCTCAGCATGCCTGCAGGCTCTGTCATGGCCCTAGTAGGCCCCAGTGGATCTGGCAAATCGACAGTTGTATCTCTTCTTCTGAGGCTTTATGATCCCCTCTCAGGTATTTATATGACTTTGTATGTATATCTTTGAACATCTGTTGCTAGGTATACTTCTGATTAGAGATCAAAACACAGTTTGCTCCATGGAAAAGTATGACCATTGTAGAATCAGTTGGAAGATTATTTACAAGAGTGTTGAAATAAAAATGCATCATTGTCATTTTATAACTTGAGCTTTTCCATTCCTGAAAAGGGAGTAATATATAAAACAAATTCATATTTATGTTTCACTCATCTTGTATTTTTACAGTTAAGGCAATATTTCAGGCGCTTTTCTAAATTGATAGGATTTGACATGAATGTGCTAGAATCATAATTTCTTATATTAGAAACAAGTGTCTCTAGAAATCACTTATTCTATGCAAAATCAGTTCTTGCCTAGAATATTTTTTTTTAAAAAAATTCTAATTTGATAAGAGTGTCATTATGTATACTTTTACTCTCTTTGTCCTCATTGTCTAATATATTATCTAACATTCTCTTAATTTATTGAAGGAAATATTACTGTTGATGGGGTTGATATCTGTCAGCTAAACCCACTATGGTTCAGGACTAATATCGGAACAGTAAGTCAGGTAAAAGAGAAGCAAAGTTTTCTTACAATATTTGCTGATCCTAATTTCTTTAAAGATGTCAGGATTTTTTTTTTTTTTTTTGCCCCTCTACTTTTGAATTTGCTTCATGCCTCTTTAAAGCAATTGTACTGATCACTGTTTATGACAAAAAGTGTTTCCTTTAATCTCTATGGTCACATGTTACTTATTTCATTTATGATCTTATCTGGGCATATGTGTATCTGTGTTGCCGTATTTCTTATGCTTTTTCATACATTAGGAACCCACTCTGTTCTCATGCTCTATTGCTGAAAACATAGCCTATGGTGCAGAGGATCCATCCACAGTAACTCCTGCAGAAATTGAGAGAGTTGCCAAAATTGCAAATGCTTCTAATTTTATCCAAAAATTTCCACAAGGATTCCATACCTTAGTTGGAGAAAAAGGTATTCTTCTTTCTGGTAAGACTACATCATTTAGACATCTAATTTTTGTAATTCATGGCTGTTATAGAAGGAATTACATTTTCCTGTCTCATTCTGCTGCACATTTCATTTTGCTATAAGACAAATCTGCTCTAAACAGACCTTTTGACCTTCTTCTGACCTTCCCAAGGGATTTCAGGGATAGGGATATAGTGACCATATGTCCTTTACAATAAAGGGCAGTCCTTTACAAGTAGTCCTCAATTTACAACAGTTCATTTAGTGACTGTACAAAGTTACAGTGGCACTGAAAAACATGACTTATGACTATTTTTCACACTTACGACCATTGCAGCATCTCTATGGTCATATGATCAAAATTCGGATGTTTGGCAACTGACTCATGATGGTTGCAATGTCCCGAGGTCACATGATCATCTTTTGCAATCTTCTGACAAGTAAAATCAATGAGGAAGCCAGATTCACTTAACAACCTTGTTACTAACTTAACAACTGCAGTGATTCACTTAACAATAAGTAGCAATAAAGATCCTAAAATGGGGCAAAATTCATTTATGCTCACAAGGCAAGGATTACCTGTATTTCAGAAAAGTGTCCTTTAGATTTATTTTTCAAAAACTTAAGTCTTTTATTTTGCTCATTTAATTTTTACTGTGCAAACTGAAGTTTTTCACATTTAGTTGAAAAATGTGGAAATTGAGTTGTCTTTTTAAAATAAGATACTCTTTGATTTTAGATATTTTTATTACAATAGGCTTTCTGGCAAAGTTTTCCTTGATTTTACTCCTGAATTTTCCTTTGTAAAGCATAGTTATAAACATAAACGATTTTTTTTATCCTTATCAGCCTATTTCAGATTTGCCCTCTTTTCAACTTTGTCTTACTTTGTTTTCCCCCAAGAAAATGTGGTCAGGCTAGTTATGGGAGATTCAGAAGGAGGAAGAAAGAATTCTGTTCTACTGACAAATACTATTCTGTCAGCATCTAGAGCAGTGGTTCTCAACCTTCCTAATGCCGCACCCTTTAATACAGTTCCTCATGTTGTGGTGACCCCAACCTTAAGCACCAATGCCACCCACTAACCCGCCGCGCCCGGGGCCCAGTGCGCCTCACCTGTCCTCACCTCACTTCCGAAGGTTGCCACCCTGCCCGGCTCCAGCTGGCCAGGAAGGGGGGGCAGGAAGGCCGCTCCGCCAAGTCTGGTTGGAGAAGCACCCAGGCGGGGAAAAAGAGAGAGAGAGCCAAGAGGGCGACATGTGTTTTCCGATGGTCTTAGGCGAGCCCTGTGAAAGGGTCGTTCGACCCCCAAAGGGGTCGCGACCCACAGGTTGAGAACCGCTGATTTAGAGCCATATTTCCCAATCTCAGCAACTTTAAGATGTGTGGACTTCAGCTCCCCAAAATCCCCTAGCCAGCATTCTAAGAGTCTACACGTCTTAAAGTTGACACGGTTGAGAAACTTTGGTCTAGACCCCTTTTCTTAGAACTGCATGTGCTTTATTGTACTGATTTCAGTGTCATCTCTTGAACTTTATTAAAATACTTTAAATAATCTTGTTGTCAAACTGCAGTGCAGTAATTATTTTCTCTATTAAAAGTCCGATTTTCCCATAGGTGGGAGAAAATAAAAAAGTAAGATATAAGTCATTTGTTTTGAATGGCAGAGTACTTTTTTAAAAAAAAACAACCATAAATAATTATACATAAAATGCATACAATATATTTTTTTATTATAGGTGGGCAGAAGCAGCGAATTGCAATTGCTCGAGCTCTTCTGAAGGTAAGCCTTTAAAAAGATAAAAGGAAAATATGTGACAAAAATGATTTAATTAGCTGAATTAAGAGAAATAAGAACTCTCAAACATTCATTGCATTTTAGGATAGTTCTCATACATTATTCTTTCAGTGTACAGTTTATTATGTATATTTTAAGAGTGTTACTTTTTTGTCATTTTGTCATATATTTTTTTTGAACAGTAGTAAAACATCTTATAATTATTGAATCTTATTCTAGTTTTTTCTAGGATAATCAGGTGTGGAAACCCACACTCATTAACCTAAGAAGGCAATAATTTTAATTATGGTTTTAAAAAGATTCTTGTTCTTTAAGTGGGATGGTTGGCTATATAATAGTAGTAGAGTTTGCAGGTTATTTTAAAGATGCAGTGTCTTGAATGTCTTATAGATACTAAAGTTTGACCAAGCTTTTACATAAAAGAAAAAGGCTTTGAAAAGATAAGTCTTTTCTAGCTTGATTTTCTTTCTTTCTTTCTTTCTTTCTTTCTTTCTTTCTTTCTTTCTTTCTTTCTTTCTTTCTTTCTCTTTCTTTCTTTCTTTCTTTTTTTCTTTCTCTTTTCTTTTTTTCTTTTTTCTTTTTCTTCTTTCTCTCTCTGCCTCCCTCCCTCTTCCCTTTCTTATATTTTGTGACAAAATAGTTCAGTAATTTGTTAGTATTGCTTTAGAGAAAACACCTCTTGATGTCTAGCAAAACCTCTAATAAAAGTGGTGTTCCTTTTTTAAAAAAAAAATCTGCATGAAGTAAATTCTAATCTCAACATTTTTGTACTCATTCTGTTTTTAGAATCCCAAAATTCTTCTTCTTGATGAAGCAACAAGGTAAATAATAAAAATTAGGAAAATTATGGGTAGCTTGGACAATGTTGAAATTGTTCCTTATTAAATTAATATCCAACTCCCACCCTCTTGAGGCTTTTTGGTATCTTTACTACTGAATTTGTGACAAAACATTGCTCATATTTTCCTCATTGTGAAATATTCTTTTATAGCTTCGATTTTTTTCTCCCGTTATTCATATACCTCTCTTCTTTTCAGCATCCTAGATACCAAAAGAAATGTAAACAACTTCATACAGTTATTGTGCAGTAATTGGTATTTTGTGACCAGCCATGCCTTCTGGGGCAACCATTTTATTAATAGGAATCTGTCCCACAGCAGCTATTTTGTTCCATGTCATAACAGCCTGCCAGAATTCCAGATGTGCCTGCCTAAGCACACATAATGCTATTCCAGATGTCTTTTCATGAATTTCAAGTCGTGCATACATATAATGCTTCTAGCCAACTCCATAGAAGGTGTTTGTAAGAGCGTGCTCTAATATATTTGGATACTTGCAGGCCAGGCTGATGAACTACTTCATCTGACCCAAACCAAAGTATACAATTCTCAGGATAGATGTAAATTGAACAGACTTTATAGCTGGATTTGTACAAGTATACAGACTTCCCTGCTTTCTGGAAGACTGCATATGTAGTACAGGTAGTCTTCCACTTACAACCACAATTGAGCCCAAAATTTCCATTTGCTAAGCAACACAGTTTTAAGTTTTGCCCCATTTTACGAACTTTCTTGCCACATCTGTTAAGTGAATCACTGCAGTTATTAAGTTAGTAACATAGTTGTTAAGTGAATCTGGCTTCCCCACTGATTTTATCAGAAGTGGCAAAACATAATCACATTATCCTGGAACACTGCAGCTGTGATTAATACAAGCCAGTTGCCAAGTGTCCGAATTTTGGTCATGTGACCATTGGGATACTCTAATAGTGAAACATGGTCATAAGTCACTTTTTTCAGTGCCAATGTAACTTTGAACGCTCACTAAATAAATGGTTGTAAGACGAGTAGTATCTGTACAGCACAGTATGCTAGTACAGAGGTCTCCAACCTTTTGGGTACCAGGGACCAATTCCATGGAGAAAGGTTTTTCCATGGATCAGTGATTGTGTGGTTTTGTGTGCTGCCTGCATCTCACAGATGGCACTTTGCTTCTTTGTGCGGATTGGTTGTTGGCATGCCGTGGCCCGGTACTGGTCCGTGGACCAGGGGTTGGGGACCCCTATGCTAGCACAGTCGTGATTCCCTAAGTCATTTCTATTTCATGAATCTATAATACCGTATATGCCGGCGTATAAGACGACTTCCGGAAGCGCTAAACTCGGCGCCAAAGATGGGGGTCGTCTTATACGCCGGGTCGCCTAATACGTCAGCATATACAGTACTTCTTTACGCTCTAATGAGGTATTTAAATTGCAGATTTAAAAAAGAGAATGTCTTAACTCAGTTTTGGGGACATCATCTGTGAAATATTGGGCTCTCTTTGTTGAAATCAAATCTCTCAAAAATTAAAATAATTGCTTTTGTTTAAAAATCCCAACACCATTAAATATTTTTTTAAAAATCCAAATTTTAAATGAAAATGAAATGAAAAAAAGTTATACAGGCAATTATGCTCTAGTAAAGTCTCTGCATTTAGATTCATAATGGGAAGAATAACCTTTTTTTATTCGATTCATTAATTAGTGCTTTGGATGCTGAAAATGAGTATCTTGTCCAAGAAGCGTTGGATCGACTGATGGAAGGCAGAACTGTTCTTATTATTGCACATCGACTCTCCACCATTCAGAATGCTAATTCTGTTGCAGTTCTGGACCAAGGCAGAATAGTTGAGTGTGGAAAGCATGAAACACTGCTTGCAAACCCAAATGGACTTTTCAGCAAATTAATGAAAAAACAGTCTTTTATCCAAAATATTGAACATTTTGCATCTAATTGAAAAATATCCTTTTTAAAAAAAGGAATGAAAAGGTGTAACTAGGGAAGAAAAATGTAATATTTCCAAGAATTTAAATTATGTTTCAATAAATGTGTTGTATATATTTTTCAATGTACTTCAGATATTTGCAAAAATTTATTATCTTAAGCTTTTTATTCAAAGCATTTAAGTAATTATATTGTGGTGCAATCCAAGAGTGAATTGTTTTTAAGATTCTATAGTTGCTATGTGATTAATGCAGGGATAGATATACTTTCCAGACCCAGGTGCCATTGTATAACCTGGTTACTTCCTTCCCAAATCAAAGAAATTTAAGAAGTTTGACAAGTTTTTGTAAAGGATCTACATGGGAGTACAGTTAAGTACCATACTGCTAATCCCTAGATTAATGGATATATCACGAGTGCTTGCAGAATTTAATTTTATGATTTGGCAGCCTACTTTGAATTTTCAGCTAGTTTATTTTCACCCCAAATATCTTTTCATACTTTTCTTCCTATTAAATTATTATGATTTTAATAATTTTATAATTACTATGAAGATAAACTGGATTCACAAAAACAAAAACCCTCATGTTTTGGTCAACATTAAGACAAAGAAGAATATTATTAGTCAAGTAAATTCTACCACATACCTGCTGTTAAAATATTTGATTTCTTTAGGTTCCTGACTGTGTATCAAGAAATAACTTATCCAGCATATTATGTTTTGCTGATGGTATCTTGATGTATGTTTGTCTTTTGTCTTTCAAACCACTCTATTCCATTTTCCCTTTCCCTTTTTAAAATGATCAGTATTTTGTAGCCAGAAAACATAAGACCTGTTCTCTTTGAGGATTCTCCCCTTTAAGGGAAAACAGCAATAATACTTTAAAAATTAATTTTAATTACTGGCAAATTACTGGTCAGTCTGTTGCTATCTAGCCAATCTACTGATATACAGTATATAAATAGTTAGTTTACTCATACAGAAACCCATACTGCTTTGTACCATATGCACAGATGGAGGGAAAGGATCATCAATATTATATTTTCAATAGTATTCAGCTAAACATGGGTAAGAAAGTGGGAAGTGATAGTATTACTTAATGTGCCACCAGTAACACACAATGCGTTGAACTTAGAATTCACTGAATGATCTAATGTATAAAATGGAAGTACTGTAGATAAACCAAAGATATGATAAATGTTCAAAGAATATTAACTGCAAGAAACGTATTCCCATAATTTCACTTTATATTTGGTTGATATGATGGTATACAGTACTGTCTTATGTAATGACTTCTCTCTAAATTGACTTATCAAAGGTTGATTCCAAAATGCCATAGTTACATTTTCTAAGTAAGTTGAAGTCACGAATCATACTGAGAGAAGGGGAAAAAATGATGTAGCTCTAAATGCACATATACTATGGGTTGAAGTCAGATTAGATTAGAAATTAGAACACTTATCTATTGGATGCCCAAAAGCTGTCCCCAAGCTTTTCCAAAAAATTTTGTGCAAGCAAACAACCAAGCTCAGACAGCACCAAGGACCGCATAAATATAATACTATTGATTAGAACAAAATGGAAATTTCACGGAACTTTCTTTCCATGACATTTCCATTGTTGGAATGTTGTTAATAAATGAAACTTTTCACAATTTTCACAAATTATGATGCTGATTATAATGATAAATTATTTTGAAGAAATTCAGTTATTTTCACATTAATTTCAAATACTGTAGAAAAACTCCTGGATTTTTTCTTCACTAACAGACTTCATTATCATTGGTCCCTCCAATTTAGTGACACATAAAGTTGAAATTGTAATGATTTATGTTCCATTCAATTGGCCATGAGGGCTATAATTGGCATCATGCTTATGGCTCTGTAGTTTTTTTAAATCTCAGTTGTCTTAATGTTATTTAACTGATCAGAACAAAAATAGTTTTTTAGTCCTACAAAGAAGTAGTTATTTATCATTCTTAATTCCTGGTTCCCAGGGGATACACAGTGGGATAATGGAAATATTTAGTAATGCAGTCTAAAAGCAAGCTTATCTAATTTTGATATAAAGAACATTTTTGTACTCTTTGTTCCCTAGTTCTTGTCAGTAATATTTTGTATAACAATAAAATGTATTAATAAACTATATATGACATTTTTCCATTCTTATTTTTATCCTGTTTATCCTTAAGTTTTCTCATTATTAAAATGAGTAATAGTATATAGGGTACCAGTAGCACATTGATATGAAAAGTGTAGTACATGCAACGTCATCATGTAAACACAATGACATATGCATGTTGTGGCATATGTAGGCTTAACATTTTTCAAGAAAGACAGTGTTCCCTTGGCACTTATTCTCTGGTCTATCTTCCCATTTTCCTGGGAATATAAATTTTTCTCAAACTTTCCAATAACCTGTCTTTCTATCCAACAGATCCGATTTGAAGATGTTCAAAAATAAAAAATAGATCATTTGGAGCAAAAGCATATCTCTTAAATACACATATTCCGTTGATGTAATTGATATTTTATTATGCTATACGTCAAGTTATATCATGTTATTATACAACTGTTATTGAGACAGATAATATGAATTATATTGATTTTCCAATGTTTCAGAAATGGTGAGGGTTGTCCAATGTTTGGGAATGAAATCCAAAGTTCAGTTTTGCCCTTTACATCCAAAGACTGTTGAATGATGATCAAGAAAACTGAGGTTTCAGAGTGCATGTACAAAACATTCCAATTGTTAATTAAGTATTCACACAGTTTATTACACTCACATTCCCCCCCCCCTTAGCCTAACTAGCCATATGAGCTGGATTTGTACAATATACTTGATCATAATATGTTGCTGTTCTTTATTTCCTAATTCTGTGGAGCATGTGGACATAGCCCCCCCCCCCCAAAAAAAAGTGCATTACAGCAGAGGTTCCCAATCTTTTGGGCACCAGGGACCGGTGCCATGGAGAAAGGTTTTTCCGCAGACCAGAGGGGGTGTGGTTTTGCATATGGCCTGTATCCTGTGGATGGAGCTTTGCTTATTTGTGCGGACTGGTTGCTGGCATGCTGCAGGCCAGTGTCGATTCACGGACCAGGGGTTGAGGACCCCTGCAGTGCCCACTTCTGATGTAGTGAGGTTATTTGGTCTATTAAAAAATAATTTACAGAGCAGTTATCTTCCAGCCAAATTAATAAGGCAGTCAACAAGTTTTAGAGCACTCTTCAACTAAATGTTACATTAAACAATTAAGAGTTTGCATCATGGTTGAAAACTCGCATTGTAGGCCATACCATAATTTTGGAAATGTTGAAAACATCTCCAGATTTTTAAAAAAATGTTTGACTCACAATCTCAGCCCACACATTTTAAAATTATAATTTTGATTTACAAGTCAGTTTCTTGCATCTACACAGTGTAAACATGCTGTGCAAAAGTATCTGCAGGATTTAGATGCATCAAACCATAAGCTCCACCCTCTTTATATGTGAACACAGTAAAAAGAGCTAGAGCTTGCAGCATGATGCTGTTCTTGCCAATTATCTCCACAGGCACCTCTTATATTGTGGAAACATTCTTTTCCTATCATAATCCCATATTTTATTCTGGAGTAACCTTTTTGGAGCTCAGGCACACACCCTCCTTATAGTCCTTTAGGAAGTTACTGAAAAGTGATAGCATTTCCTTAATTTTATTTATTGAATATTTTAAGTTATTACAATTTTCTTTTAATTTTATTGTTATTTATGTAATTGTTTTATGTGAATGCTTTAACCGTCATTCTTTGTAAGCTGCCAAGAGTCAATCACAGTAGGATACAAGTCAAACCAATCAATAACTATGCCTTCATCTTGGGCAAGTTTTAAGTTGTTTTCAGTTAACTGCCACTTGTTCACTTGACAGCATTGAATAAGTAGTAGTTACAACTGGTCGTCCTTCTCACCAACATAGCATTCCCCATCATACGATTGTGATCCAGGTATCTGGCAACCAGCCTACATTTCCAACTATAGCAGCATCCCACAAGCATATAATTGTTATTTGCAACTTTTCCTGCCAATTTCCCACAAGCGGAGTCAATGGGGAAGCTGTCAGGAAGTCAGAGGTTGTAATTAGGCAGTCTATTAACCAGGGATTGCTGGAATTGCCGTTGCTCACTGTCACATCATGCTTTACAACTGCATTGCTTAATTCTGGTCCCTATTACTATTGTTAACTATGGACTACCTGTAGTAAAGTAGCTTACTTATTCCAGCATTTATTTAAAAGCAGGAATCAAAGTCTTGGGCAACTGAAGGATGAATGACAAAATATTCTTCATCTCTCTTCAAACTTACGTCATGATGCTTGCATGCAGATACTTAAGGGGTGGAATTTACAGCAGGAATATCAGGATAGATTTCATCATTTTGATATAAGATCCATTAGCTGTAGATTGCTGATGAAGTATCTAATGTCTTTTTGAACTTTTGTCTAGCTGGTAATCATAAGAGAAAGTGGCTGGGAAACGAAGTAATAAGGATCCAACCAGGACATAAGACTTTATGCCATTATCTACATCAGCAGCAACACACCTTTGGCTTTCCCAAACAACTGTCTGCGTGACTGTAGAAATGGGTCAAATAAAAGAATACATACAGGTTGTCCTCAATTTATGACCACAATGGAGCCCAAAATTCCTGTTGCTAAGTGTGACATTTGTTACGTGAATTTTGCCCCATTTTATGACCTTTATTGCTACAGTTGTTAAGTGAATCACTGCAGCTTTTACTTGCACAGTTAAGTGAATCTGGCTTCCTCCATTGACTTTGCTTGTCAGAAGTTCGCAAAAGGTGATCGCATGACTCTGGGAGACCCTGCAACCCTCATAAATACAAGTGAGTTGTCAAGTATCTGGATTTTCATCCTGTGACCACGGGGATGCTGCAACGTTATTAAATGTGGAAAAAGGTCATGTCACTTTTTTCAGTGCTGTTGTAAGTTTGAACAGTCACTAAATGAACTGTTGTAAACCGAGGACTATCTTATTGGGAGGTTCAAGTTGGGCTTCTAGCAATCGTCCGTGGGTCCAATGAAGAACGGAGGAAATACAGAGATACATTATCATAACGCCAGGGAGAGCTCGTCACCTGGAAACTATACACACACATACAAAAAAAAAAAGAGAACTTCCCGCTTTTCTGGGTCGATTGGACCAAGCCAGGGAGGACGGAAAAACTTCAGCCAATCCCGCTCTTGGAGGAAATATGACGTCATTTAAATGCGCTAGTTTTGCTTTACGAGAAAAGAGCAACGAGACTTGAAAGGGTTGGGAATTTTTTTTTTTATAACGGCCCCTCGGTTTTCGTACCGAGGCGACAATGTTTCTTTCCACTCCTACCTCGCCTCACACTCCAGGCGGCGGCGGCGGCGGCGGTGGCTCGGCCCGAAGAAACCTCCGCCCCGGAGGTAAGAAGAGCCAAATGCCGGTAACCCCGTCCGTCTCTTCCCCAGCCTTCTTCTCGCCAGCAACGAGGAGACACCTCGGTTCCCTCTCTGCGCGGTGAGTACTCTGCCCCGCCTATCGGTGGGTGGAGCCTAACTGCCCCCCCCCTCCACGCGATTGATGCAAAGATTTGCAAAGGGAGTCCGGAGAGGAAGGTGGGGTGCTTGTTTTCGGGCACAACAAGTGCTGCTTTAATAGCAAAAGAGCAAATAATATGTATTGCGGTGTGTGTGTGTGTGGGGGGGGGTAATCGCAATTACTGGGGTCGTCCCAGTTGAGGCGGGAATACGAAGGCGTTTTCAAGGAAGTTCGCTCCCCTGAAAATTATGTATGGCCCCTTCAAATGCACTGCTGCTTTCAGAATAAAGGAAGGATTGAAGATTTTCTTCTATGCTGCAATCTGTTATTCATGAGTTGGGTGGCACTCTTTAAGCTGCCACTCACGTAACCAAAAAAAAAAAAAAAAATTAGTCGCATTTTTATTTCTCCAATGCTGGATACTCCTTGTCAAATGGTTAATAAAAATATACCTTTTATTTCTTGTATTTAAAAAGCACTGTAAAGAAAACGTACCCAAGAGAGGGGATAAGAGTTAAAGTTATTCTGTTGATCAGTTTTGATCATGTGAACAATTCTCATATTTGTATTTCTAGTCCATAGTGAAACACAACTTCTGTCAAGTTCTGATTTTCAAGCTTCTACAATGATACATTAAATGTTTCTCAATGCTGGCTGTGGAATTCTGGGAGTTGAAGTCCACATGCCTTAAAATTGTCAAGGTTGAGAAACACTGCGACCAATTATTTAATATTATTAAATAAAGCATTCAGTATAAAGACCACTATTTTTATGTGCTAAAACCAAAATACTTTTTATTTCAGAATACTTTTGGTCCGGCTGACCCTTTTTTCAGATTTTCTTTATACTGAGTATACCTATGATTTTATTTATTTTCATTTTTAGTTTATTGTATGACAGCTTCTGAATACAATAAATGTGTTGAAAAGCTAATAGATATTGTGTGTTTCTGTGTCCCATTTCCTGTTCTACTGCATTGGTTAAAAAACATTTAAAGCCTTGAATTAATATTCCCAGTTAGATCAGGATTAGATAAGCCCATGGTTTGACTTGAGGTAAAACAATTTAAAAATTGTTTAATTTGAATTGGTGTTGAGCTTAGGCTCAATGACATTGAAAAAGATTCAGAAGTGAAATCTGTTTTACACAGAGCAAATTATAGTAGTGTTTGTTAATGTTGAAATACTATGCTTAATTTTGCATTTAGGTTATTTTATTTAATAGAATATAGATAGAAAATTCTATAGTGAAAAACAAAAAGTAATTGGAAGTAAAAAAAAGAGTTATAATGATACTTTCTGACTTAACTTCCTTTCTTCCTACATAATCACTTGCAAATTTTCCAACATTGCACTCATATTAATCTTGATTATTAACCATGCTGATTTTTCAACAATGAAGTGGGGAAGTATGCTTTGGCAGTGATCAAGCCAGTTACATTTTCAAGTATATGTGACCCTTGCTTTGTTTGTGATTAACAACACTCCCTGACTTTAAGCTTTGCCTAATCTTTCTTCTCAACTTGATTATAAATATTTCAGTGTTTATCAACAGCTTGGGAATGTGAATAGACAAGAGTAATACTCAGTTTCTAAGAGAAAAACAAGGAAAAACAAAGTCAAATTGCTTTTGAAAAAGCACCAAAGAGAAATGTTTTTGTTAACTATAAGAAAGGTGAAGGAAAATTAATAGAAATGAAATAAAATATTAAAAGCAAGTGTCTTTGTATGACTTGATAAAAGCACAATCTATAGGCAGTCCTCAATTTATGACCACAATGAGGACCGGAATCTTAGTTACTGAGCAAAGCGGTCATTAAGCAAGACACCGTGTGACTGATTTGCTCAATAGCTGCAATCCCAGCACTTCTGGTGGCAGTTGTAAGCGATCTTGCAGGATGTTAAGTGGACGGAGCCATAGGTAGGAGCGCAGGGGTACCTCAGGGAGGTGAGGAGCCTTGGGAGGTTCAGCACAGGCTGTACATGAGGTGGTGTAAGGCTTCAGCCTCTGTCCCAGCCAAGCCCTGCAATGCAACAATTGGAGGCAGTACTAAGGCTGAGTCTGAAGTAGGGGCTTGGGGCCTTCAGCAGTCCCAACCAACTGCCATTGCTCCCAGGCCTCAGCTTCAGTCTTGGCGCTGCTGTTGCCATTGAGAAATGCCACCTCACATTGTTCTCCAAGGCATGAGCCTTGAAGAATGGTGTGATTGCACCTGCCATCCAGCACACCCTAGGATTTGCTATGCACCACTCACCTTCAACTGAGAGGCAGCCTATTGAAGACAGCTCCTGGTCATGCCAGAACTTTTTTTCCGAAGCCACTTCATGCCATTTCCCCAAGCCTCTCATAACTGGGAAAATGGACTAATGAAGGACTGCACAGTTTGTAGAATGAGGCTTCCGAAGGAGTATGAGAACAGACTGCATTCTCACAGTGCTTCAGAAGCCTCGTTTTCCAACTCATGCGAAGTTTGGGGAATGTGGCTTCTGAAGAATGCCAAGCTCCCAGATTTTGATCACGTGACCTGCAGCAGCCATGATGTCAATTCCATTCAGTATCATTGTAATTTTGAATGGCCAGTGAATAAATGGTTATAAGTCGAGGACTACCTGTTGTTGAAGGAAAAGTCTTCATCATGGTTCAGTCCAAGCCGGGAATAAACAACATGGCGACTGCTTTAGAAAGAAGGTTGCAGTTTATTAAGAGGAGAGCCAGACAGAAAGATGGCTCTGGAAGAAAAGAGAGTGAGCACCTTCTTGAGCCTTTTGTTTGGAGTTGTTTCTGTGGCATGAACTTTGACCTGAGTCTGAGTGTGACTTTCTGGTATTCTGATGGTGGTGGGTTAATCCTATTATGTCCCAAAGGTCAAGCCTGCTTCCCTGGGGCTGTGGCTGATGACTCTTAGATTTTTGGTGTGAGGGATTGTTGATTCTAGGAATCTTTCTTCCTAATCCCAGTTTCCTGATTTCAGTCTTTCTGACAAGATTATCACATCTGCAATTCTGCAGACTTGGTTTCTGTTTGGGACAGAGAGACTTGGGGCCTGGGTTGGTTTCTGCTTTTAAAATCCTTTAGGAAAATATATTCTGCCTTTTAAATATTTCCAAAATTATTTGTTTCTCTGGGAGGGGAAGGCTGACTTCCCACACTGTATTCAATTTGTTTTGACTTCAACTGTTGGATAGCTGAAGAATTCATGCAATGATGAAAGTAACAAAACTTAAATCAATGCTATTAATTTCATTATTAAATCATTCATTTTTTTCTGCTTAGGTGTACACCTACAAAAGTTGTACATCATCCAACAGGAAGTGAAACCATCAATTATGATGTAAAAAAGTTTGGTTCACCTTTGCCAGTAAAAGTTGTAGAGGCTTTGAGAATGGCTGATGGTAAGTTTTTTTTTAATTTGATCATACAAATAAATGATAATTCTGTAATGGAAAAATAGAATTTAGAATATTAAATAGCATGATTTTTGCTAGTATCTGTAAATTAGCAAGACAGCAATGTTGCTGTTTAAGGATTTATAAAATCAAAATTATTCACACTGTCCTGAGTGGTTTGCATTTCCTCTTGAAGCAAAAATACTTGGCTTGGAAACCATAACTCATTATTATTATCTGAGGCTCAGATAATTCTGTATTTGGAAGTATCTTTCATCAGCTGTGCTTAATTATTTCTAGCAACTGAGACGTTTCAACAGTTACAGTTAGGACTCGGGTTACAACAGCAATTGAAATTTCCATTGCTAAGGGATGTAGTCAGAATCATTTACAACAGCAATTGGGACTGGAATTTCAGTCATATGGCGATGGCCATCCTGGTAGTCCCAGTGTTGTAATCGTGAGCCAGGCATCCAAGCAACCCAATGGTTACCCTGTAACCTGTAGCTGCAACTTCGCGGACTGCTTGTAAATCCCCCTCGTTCACTGCCATTGTAATTTTGAAGGGTCACTGAATAAGTGGTCATAACCTGAGGACTAACTGTATGAAATAGAATGAAGTTATTTTGTGAAGTTGACCACATATATTAGTTTTACGAGAGTGTTACTGGTTGTCAGTTTTTCCCTGCTCTTAACATTACTCATTATCAAAAACCTATATGACTTGGGTGTCTAATGAAATTCTTTTTTCCCTATTAATTTGTTTACTAATTTGGGCCTTCCTCAGAGAAGGAAACCAAGCCTGGATTTTATTTATATATATGTGTGTGTGTGTGTGTGTGTGTGTGTGTGTGTGTGTGTGTATGTATATGTATATGTAATTTATTTTGGAAACTATTATTTATTATAGCTGAGGACGATTTGAGTGTGCTGCTAGATGAAAGTGGATGGGCTTGGCTAGTCCATAAAGACAGACTAATTATTTGGAAGATTGGTCAATCATCAGTTGCTAAGGTAAAGTAATAGCAAAATTAAATGTATTTAAGCAGGTTTATAATGATGTACATGTTCAAAATAAAAATGTAGGCAAATAAACTGCCTCAAATCAGCAGCATTTTTCTGGACTCTTCTGAACTTGGAATACATTTATACTACATCCTTTCTGTAACATTTAGCCTTTATATTAATAAGGAAAGTTCCTCAGGTTCCTTTGTTCCTCAGTGTTCTGTTTTTCCCTCCTAGAATAAGGCAATATGAAAATTTTAAGAGTGTATCATACAATTGGCACATTTAGGGATGGAATGGAAACAAACTACATCATTCTACAAATAATAATTTTATATTGGATATTTGATCATAACTCTTCCAATAAGTTGATATTTGAGGTAGTAAATTTTCATTAACTTGTGCATTATAAAAGAAATTATACAAGTTTAACTATTTTTGTTGAAAAAAAAGCTTTTTTGATTCTAGTAGGTTTCCAAATAAGTATGCTTAGATTGCAATCAGCATCACTGAGTTTGGAAAAAACATTCTGCTTGTAATATTTTTTTAAAAAGGGAAATAATT